AATCGTATAACGATACCGTCGTAAACATTTGTGGAGCTATCAAAGGTATGGAAACATCAACCTATAAAATATAAGTGCGGCTACTAGGTTAGTCCGTCAGTTGTATAAACAATCCGAGGCCAAAACATGTTATTCGTGTGAACTAAGCAATGCATTTTTCAAACAACATATATTAGTAAATATAGGGGCAATGTGATCAAAGAGGCTTGGCTTGCACAGGGTTGGGGGTCTTCTCCCTCAAAAACGGCGTCCAGAGCTTCCTCGTACTCGGGCTCTAAACGTGAAAAGCGAAACTAATTAACAAAAAGCAATAAACACAAGCTCAAATCAGAGAAACAATGATGCCACTGTGTAGATCTCAATTTTTTTAAAAAAAATTAGGAACTTGAACGGGGTCAATCGGGGTTGATTTACTATGGATTTTCAAAGGATAAATGGATTTTCTAGAATATTTGGAAATCAAAATATTAAACGGAAAAGGAATATTCCGTGGAATATTCATCGCTAAAGGCGGACGGCAAGGGGTTGGCCCACCTGTCAATGATAGATGGAAGGAATGATGCGCGGGCCCAGGCTTGTCTGCTGCTTGAGGGATAGAGGGAGGTGCGGGGCCCGGCTATCAGTGACAGGAGAGAGGAAAGGGAGGTGGGACCGGCTTGGCAGTGGCTCGGCTCGGCTTCTCTTCTTCCTCCTCTCGCTATGCTCGACCCAGCCGGGGCACAGGCGGCACGCCGCGGCGGCGAGGTGCGGCTCCACGACCGGCGGCCGGGGAAGGCGGCGACTACCTTCGGCGGAGCTCCGCCGGCGATGGCGGCACATGAAGGCGGGGCGCGGTGGCTCTAGGCGGCGGCACAAAGAGGTGAACGAGAGAGGGAAAGAGGAGAGAGAGATGGAGATGGTGATGGCAAGGAAGGGGCTCGGGTTCCCCTTTTATAGGCGGGTGATGCGGTGGCGAGCTGGCAGTCTAGACACGGCATTTCGGGGGTAGACGGCTAGCAGCTAGGGCGGGATTCCGGGGTGAGAGGACGGTGATGTGATGGAGTGGCGTCACACACTGGTGGCAATTCGACGGTGAAAACGACGGCGACGCGACATGAGGTGACGCGCGGAGAGCAGGAACGGCGGTGGAACATGGGTGACGCGTGACCGATGATGGCTACGGCCGGGATTTGGGCGGTAGAGTTCTCAGAGCGAGGTGACGTGGGCGACGTCACGCGCGGTGGCGATGGAACGCGAGAGAGAGGGAGGCGCGAGCTCGGTGGCTTCCCGGAAGAAGGCGGGCAACAAGACATGTGCGCGATAAAATATGGGTGCTACATTGATGAAGAGGGCTTGTAGTGGCTTCGTGGTTTTGAGTGATGAAGTTGGGCTCGCCTCAACGGGGATTAAGAAACCGGCGAGGTTCTGAACCTCGGGTGAAAAACTCCTTGTCTCTTGTCTCATTTACCTTTTGCATGTACATTTGTGCAATTTACTTTCATATAGATATATTTGAGCCCATATCACTCTAGGATTGCAAAACTAACTTAGCGTGTTATTTACTTTCATAGTGATATACTTGAGCCCATATCACCCGAGGTTTGCAAAACTTAACTTAGTTGCTTAGTTTACATTGTCCCTCACCAAGCCTAACAACTTAGGTTAGTTTTGATTAGGTCTCATCTAGTTTAAATCACCTATTCACCCCCTCTAGTCGACATCTCGATCCTACATAGACGCCCTCGTCGCGCGCCCCAGCCATGGCCGCACCATCCTTCCTTCCCTCCCCCCACACACCCGTTCGCACCATCGTGCAACGGCCATCGGTGGTAGGATTAGGGATGAAACGGTCGGAAACGGTCGGAAATGGTACATTATTTTATTATTTTTTTCGAAAATGAATGAAACGGTCGGGAAATTTCCATATTTATGAATTCATCTATTTAGTGCCAACTTCAATGCTACGCTGACAGAAATTAAAAAAACTAAATTTTGAAAACGGTAACATCAGTAAAAATATTATTATTATATTAGTTTTGCGGAAACGGTATCGGTACGGTCGGGAACTTTGCATACCGCGTTTTCACCCCTAGGTAGGATGCTAGGAGGGGGGATGGAGACAGGGTGATTTTTCTTTATTATTATTATTATTATTATTGTGAATTTTCAGATCTGTGATAGCTTATGAGCCTAATTTTTCTTTTTTTAAGTTGAATTTTCACACCTGTAACAGCTCCACGTTTTTTAGTGCCGTTACATATGAGTCTCTATGTCTGTAACTATTGGGTTGTAAGGTTGGTTTAATCGTTATAAATGTGAGTAGTCGTTATTGATGTAGTGTTTGCGTGCTAGTGTCCGGAAGGGATGAAATTAATTTCCAGCAATCTTTGAACAAAAGCAAAAGCTCAATCTTCACTACACATTGTACAGCTGGAAAGGAATCAGTTCCTGCAGGCATGATACCGACATTCGATTTGTCCGAAGAGGAAAAGAACATAGTCACCACAGAATTAAAAATAAAAAAGCTGCAAATGTTGCATGCGGCAAAAGTTAACGTGTTTCCAAATGCCAAGCAATGTGTAGGTTCTTTCTTTCATTCTTTGGTCGTTGAAGCTACTTTATTAATCTGATAAGTCGTGTTGAAAATATAAGCGCACATTTATTATATATATAAATTTGATATTATAGCTAAAATGATGTAACAAGCTAGGAGCCCTTATCCGCTTACCAGGACTAAGCCACATGTGAGAGCGTGTGTTACTCAAGTTCTCTCGTAACCACATGATTTAAGTAGCAAGAAGAGCGCACTGTTCCTTATAAACTGATAGTATTATTCTTGAAGTAGCGAGAAGAATGTATTATTCCTTATACACTGATATTTATTCTTAGTAGATCAACAGAATGGCACTGAAGTTCACATGCATGCAACTATTACATTAGGTAAGCCTTTGATTGTTCTATTATTACATGGACAAGGCCCATATAACTCCAACAACTTAAAAAGTCAAGATTAAGAAAGAGTAAATTTTACAAAACTACAGATTTTTTGATCAAACTATCATAAAACTGCATATTTAAGAATGTGTTTCATAAAACTACAGTTTTACTGCCAAATTTATCACGAAACTACATATTAAAAGTATTATGTAACAAAACTATAGATTTAACAACTATTTTTCACAAAACTATAGATTTTGTAACTTTACATAAATAATCGTGCTATGGATAAACTCTAAAATATGTAATTCTTTGATAACTTTATCACTACATATGTAGTTTTGTGAATGGTGCATTAAATCTGTAGTTCCGTGAAATGTTTGACACTAAATCTATAGTTTTGTGATACACATATTTAAATTTGTAGTTTTGTGAAAATTTGGTCCAAGCTGTTGTAATTTAATCTAATTAATTAATTTGAGTCTTAGCCTAAACATGATCACCTTCTGATTATGCGGAAATTAATTGATCTAGCTGACCTGAGATGAAGCCATTGAAATTTATGCTTGATTCTTGCTTTTCCTTCTTCTCTGTTTCTCTTCTTTCTTCTTCTTCGTCTAGAGATGTCTCACGAACCCCTTCCAGTGTCTAACCGATCAGACAATTGGTTTAGGGTTCAGGGAGAGATTCGGCGTCACATCTGCGTCTCCTCCTATTTCTCATATATATCGACACTGGTGGGGCTCGGGGGTTTATCTCCAATTAGTTTGGAATTCTGTTTTACACCGATCAGACAAAACAAAATCTAATCGCTTATTTTTTTTCTTTCTTGATTGGGAAGGAAATTGGTGGTTAATCTCTTTCCTAATCCTTATCGACAGTGAGTCAATAAAATCAACCATCACAAGCATATGTAGTTTTGTGAAATTTACTCATTAAGAAAAGTTAGAAAGTATGATGATTAATTAACATGCGGCACATTAGGTAAGCGATATAATCATCTGGCAACAACACAATCGCAAAAGGACTAAATCCAAAAAGGAAAATAAACGATGACAGATTGATCACCGTGTTGGTTGATTTTATCGGCTAATGCCAGTTAGTTAGGAAAGGGATAAAATCCCATCGTTTTCATTTCCCAACAAGAAACCAAATAAGAGATTTTTTTTTTTGTGATCGGTAAAATAAGGACTCAATTTTAGTTGGAGATAATACCCCTGAGCCCCACTAGTATCGTCATATAAACAATGGCAGAGGTCACAGTCAAACTCTCTCTAATCTTAAAATCCTAATACAATCGCCCGTTCGATCTAGGCACTAAGGGCCCCTTTGATTTGTAGGAAAAATATAGGAATTTTGGAGGATTTCAATCCTATGGAAAAAAATCCTATGAAAACCTTTGAAACAAAGGATTGAATCCTATCCAATCCTTTAAAATTCCTATGGAATGTGTAATCCTATGCACATTTTGGAGGAAAGTTAGCAAGAGGTCTAACCTCTTGTAATATTTCCTTTGAGTCTATCTCTCTCATCTGATTCCTGCGTTTTTCCTGTAGTCCAATCAAACAGCTATTCCTATGTTTTTCATGTGTTTTGCAATCCTCTGTTTTACAATTATATTCCTATCAGAATCCTGTGTTTTTCCTATTCCTCTGCTTTTTCATTCCTACGATTTAAAGGGGCCCTAAAAGGGGTTCTTGAAGAAGAAGAAAAAACAAAATGAAGAAGAAACAGAGAAGAAGAAAGAAAGGAAAAGTGAAAAATCAGAGGAATCATTGATGGCTTCAAACGTAGGTCAGTGAATTGATTATAATTAAGAGAAGATGATTGTTTATTGGCTAAAGTAAGAAGATCTTGAATTAGAAACTCCAACACACCGTGGATATCTCTCCCTGCCAGCAGACAGCAGACGGCGACTGAGAGCTTTTATGGCTGGTAGTCGCGCGACAGATGCACCGTCCCCAGCATCAAGGTAAAAAAAAAAAAAGCACAATCACATGTACACATGATATATTTTTGTGTCGAACAATGTTGTTGCTCGTGGTTTGTCGCGTGTTGCCGAAGGCAAACAATATACTCCCCGATCAATGAACCTATAAATTAACGTGGATTATACGTAGGCAGATCACAACAGTGCCCAGCAAATTATTAGCTGCAACTGCAAGTGACCCTCCTTGATTAACCACAATATTGTCGAGTAGTGGTAGTGCCGCTGCACCAGCACCAGCACCCACCGCAAGCCCCCAGATGCCAACTGCCGCTAGCTAGCCTCGGTGCTCCTCCACCGCCCATCATGGCATCGGCAGTCAAATCCAAACTGACGGTGGCCAAAACAAAGGAGGACACCGCAAAGCCTCCCATGAATCCATGGTTGCTACTCCTTGCATCGCGAGGTGATTGTGATGGGATAACCGATCACATTCTTCTGAACATGGAAGCTGCGACGCAACAGAAGGCTGCTAAAGAGGAAGGTGCTTGTCATCGTCCTGCACCCTCTGCAGACTCGTCGCCCCTGGACCAAGCTAACCCTGCAATTCCTACCATGGCGACGCAGCAAGCTTCTGGTGATGATGGGCATCAGTCATGCCTGGACCTGGAGGGGGTCACCATTGAAGGCGACACGGCACTGCATGTTTTGGCCACCTCTGGTGATGGCTGGAGCTACCTGAGGAGTGTGGAGATCATCTGCAGCAAGGCCCCGCATCTCCTGCTGGTGCAGAACAACAAAGGCGGCACGCCTTTGCACTGCGCTGTCAGGGCTGGCCATTCCCAAATGGTTTCTTTTCTAATTGATCTGGCTAATAATCCGAGGTCAAATCTGCAGGTAGCGGCTAGATTGAAGGAAGTTCTGAGAAAGGGGACGGCCTTTCTTCCCTTGCATGATGCAATCCGCATCGGAAACAAGGAAATGATCACCAAGCTTCTTGAATTCGATCCAGAATTGGCTAGTTCCCCTACGGATGAAGCAGGAATTTCACCGTTGTACCTAGCTATCGTGCTACAACGTAGTGACATCGCAAAGTTATTGCATCAAATGAGTCCAGAGAATCTTTCATATTCGGGCCTAAGTGGACAGAACGCATTGCATGCAGCGGTTCTCCAAGGCAAAGGTACGTGTGCAATTGATATATATACCTTTTCATTTCATGTTAATTTTGTACGGTACTTCATACTTATTTTAAATCCTTCTAATCATTAATTTTTATGCTTAGGACAAGTTTTGGTCAAACTTCTTTAAAATCCCAAGCATCAATGTTATATATATATTAATTAGGATATGTTTATAAATCTAATAATTTTATAATACCATGATGGTATACCATTCCTTGTTCTGAGAATCATCGATGGTAAGAATTTCAGAAGTTTTACTAAATTTTGTCATAAACATCAAATATTTATAACTGAAGAAGTATTATATAATATTCCAAAATATAATAACAAAATATGCCTTACAATTAATAATCAGCATTGAGGGAGCTTGTACCTAGCCTAGCGACCTACTTTCCGAAGTTTGCCCTATGATAATAAATAGGCAATGACTGCAAACATTGCCGATTAAGTTTGCTTCAAATATACATACAATGTCAGTTGGAAAGAAGAAGTTATTATAAGACTCCTATGTAACAAAAGAAATTCTAACTATGTCTAGATTTGTAGCCAGAATTACTTTTTATAGAGGGAGGATGTGTTTAGGATTAGAAGTAATGTCGAACTCTTGTCCTAAACTCTCTACGCACCACCTAATAACTTAGGCGAGGGAATGACTAGCTGTTTTAGTTGCTCGAGGGTTATTGGTGGTACTGTGGTATATTATAGTTGTAGTAGTTTGGGGAGCAACACACAGTGTCTCAGGATGTAGGGTTCGGAGGATGTGTTTAGGATAGAAGTAATGTCGAACTCTAATCCTAAACTCTCTAGCCACCACCTAAGAACTTAGGCGAGGGAATGACTAGTTGTCTTAGCTGCTGGAGGGATATTGGTACCGTGGTATATTATAGTTATACTAGTTTGGAGAGCAACACAATGCCCCAGGATGTAGGGTTCGGTTGAAATACCTCTCTAACAAATATCATGCCTCATTATTGTCATCGGTCTTGGATCTCCTACAATATTTTTTCACATTCAGTTACCAATTCTGTTATCAGTGCTAGTCCACTATTAATAAGTGGCTCCTTTCTAAATGCCACTGTTAGATTTGGTCCTATGTTTTTTCCATCGGAGAGAGAAGGTTTCCTAATATTTTGCCACTTCCACCTAAGTGGTGTGACAAGTAGGATTGCCAGCATGGGTGGTGTGAAAAAGTCCATTTTGCCTCTTGTAGACCCTACAACTCAGCCACAACCTTTCCCCACACTGCTCACTTCTGTCTTATTCAAGACGGTGCTTGACGCTTATATGGATGGCGAAGGCACATAAGCTCTAGCGCTTGTGTTTTTGCGAACAGGAACCCTGAGTAGTAGAGGTTGGTGGGCTTGGTCCACAGCGTGGCGGCGATATTAATGTAGAGACTATGGTGTGGCGTCAATGGGGTAGGTCTTGGCAAGCAGCAGCCAAGGCCAGCGGCAGGTCACACACACAAACACACACACACACACACACACACACACACACACACACACCAGATCCGGTGGCAGCTACCTCTTCCTTGGCCTTCAGTATCGGCGGCACTCCCGGAGGATCTCGAGCTTTTGCGTTTCTGGTAGTCCGCATCCGCTACCATCTCGTACTCCTCCTCAACCCGGACCTCCAACAACAAAGCCTCCTAGACATCATGCCTGTAACGCCCCGACATTCGTTAGCCATAAACATAGCTAACTTACATCAGGGTGTTATGCATTACCTGTGATATAGTACCAGTCCCAGGATACACTAGCTGGTACACACAGAATAAATGTGAAATCAAAGTAAACTGCATTATTACATCACTGGGTAGCAGTCATTACATAAGTTGCTATCATGGACAGGCCCATGGATGAGCAACACAATAGCACAGAAAAACATAAAAGCGAACACGCGGAGAGACTAAGCGACTAAGCAACTATGCTCTAGGCTATGAACCTAGGCAACTAACTTATTCCACAAGCGAGGCTTGGGGCTAGGGACAAAACATCTAGAAGTCTTCATACTCAGCTTGCTCCTGGAGATACTCCTCGGCGGTCGGGTCGACGTCTTCATCTTCATACTCTATAGATTATTATAAGGGGCAAGGGTGAGTACTTAACGTACTCAGCAAGCCAGAGGAAAGAATGACATGTTTGGCTTAAACAAGGAGGCTATGGTTTTATTTGCGAAAGCTGCCTTTTTGGCAAAGTGATTTATTTCACAAAACTCCTAGTGAGTGAGTCAAGTGTTTAGTTGTCAGGAGGAGGCTCACGCCTCGACCCATTCCACAAGTTGCTTTGCAACAACTTATCACGATTAACGAACAACAATTAATTTGTTTCCTCTATTAGTTTCTTCTCACAACAACACATAGTCCACACAGTTATCTCAGCACAACAACGCCATCATGGCCCTAACAACACCTCGGTGTCGGACGACACCCCAGGTCACACAGACCTGTTCCTAACCACATAGGTTAGCCGTCTGCCACACAGGCGGACTCTGGTAACGTTACCCTTCCCAAATAACCACTTCACAAACATTTGTCAAACAAATCTACGCTATGAGAAACACCTTACACTCGCCCTTGACCGTGGGCACGGCTGTTCGGACAGTTCATTAATCTCTGCAAAGGTTGCACGTTTTACCCACACGACACGAAACTGACATCGTTTACCCGTCGGCAACGAAAGTTCGCACGCCAGGAAATACCGAGGATGTCTCCTACTGATTTCGTACACCACAATAGAGGCAAAATAACACCCATGATGGGCAAAAAGGTAAAAACTTCGTCTCCTCATCCTCGGCATTCCACAACCATTGGCACACCAACTCCCATGTGATAGCAATTTACTTAGCCAGAGGCATCCCATAAATACCCGTGTGGTCGCACTGTAATGTGTTTGGATGGATTTCCCAAAGGAATCGTTCCTTAACGACAATACGTAGCCAAACCACAAAGGCATGACTCCGCATCATCACCACTTTCACAACACATTTTATTTCACAACACCTCGGTACAACGTACCGGACTTTTAAACATGTATTTGGCAAACAACATAAGCATGGCTAAGCGAAACTATCTCGGTATTCGTACAACAATACCGGCGCAAATATTTGTGGAGCTATCAAAGGTATGGAAACATCAACCTATGAAATATAAGTGCGACTCCTAGGTTGGTCCGTCAGTTGTATAAACAATCCGAGGCCTAAACATGTTAATCGTGTATACTAAGCAATGCATTTTTGCAAACAACATATTATTGAAAATATAGGGGCAATGTGATCAAAGAGGCTTGCCTTGCACAGGGTTGGGGTCTTTTCCCTCGAAAGCGGCGTCCGGAGCTTCCTCGTACTCGGGCTCTAAACGCGAAAACAAATCTAAATAAGAAAAGGCAATAAAACTATCTTAAATCAGAGAAATAACAGTGCCACTGTGTAGATCTCAATTTTAGAAAAATTTAGAAACTTGAATGGGGTCAATCGGAATTATGGTTGATTTTCTACGGATTTTCAAAAGATAAAATATTTTCTGGGATTTTATTTATTGGACGGCAAGGGAATATTCCGCTAGGGTTGACAGCAAAAGAAGGGTCCCACCTGTCGGCAACTGTTGGAGGGGAAAAGGTGTGGGCCCCGGCTGTCAGCGGCTCTTGGAGGGAACGAGGCGCGGGGCCGGCCTGGCAGTGGCTCGGCTCGGTTTCTTCGTCTTCCTCGCGCTCTGCTCGGCTCGGCCTGAGGGCGCGTCGCGGCGGCGAGGCCCGGCTCGGCGACCGGCGGCCGGGGAAGGGGCGGCGGCCTCCGGCGGAGCTCCTCCGGCGACGGCGGCGCTAGAAGACGGAGCGCGGCGGCTCTAGGCGGCGGCACAGAGAGTGAAATCGAGAGAAAGAGAGAGGAGAGAGAGATGGGTTGGGATGGTGATGGTGTGGGGAAGAATGGGGGAGCTTGGGGCCCTTTTATAGGCGGTGAGGGTTTGGCGGGATGCAGCGGCGAGCTGGCGGCTAGCCTCCGCGAATTCACGTGTAGCTGGCTAGCTTCTTCAGCGGGATTCCGGGGTGGATGGGATAGCGACACGACGACGCTGTGGTGGCGAGGCGTCAGCGAGGTCACGGTCGACGGGACGCGGCGATGCGATGGCGACGGCGATGGTGCGACGCGACGCGAGATGACGCGCGCGGAGAGCGGGAATAGCGACGGGACGGCGATGACGCGCGGCTGTCGGCGGCTATGGCCGTGATTCAAGAGGCATCACACGCATGGCAAAAGTTGACAAAACAGAAAATAATCAAGTTGAACAGCATTCACACGCTTCATTGTAGCACTCCGTTGACTCAATTGTTAAGATACTGGAGATCTATAGCAGAAGAGATATGCTCTGGTCCAGTAAAAAATACCTCGAGATACCGGTATCTCATGGTATTAAATTGTTTCCGATCGTTGAATTTAGCTAGACAGGATGGGCGTTGCTAGATCCAACTATCGAAAACGATTTGGTATCGTGAGATAACGGTACCTCAAGGTATTTTTTGTTAGACCGGAGCAAATCTCAAAGCAGAAAGACCAAGGTTCTCCTCCACCATATTTAGTTTGACACACATCGGGCATGCTATCGGGCTTGGGTTGCGGCACTGGCCCGTTCTCAATATATTGCTGCGAGGATAGTCGTGGTGGCAATGAGGAGCGCAAGCGATGACTTAGGAACCCTTGCTCCAAGAAACCTTAGAACACTGCCACCCAGGAGAGGAGAGAGGAAGAAAGAGATATATGTGCACCGGTGAGAAGTGAGAACTAGCCACTGGAGTGGACAAGGGTAAGGCGCTGAGTCGCCATTGCCATCCCTTCCCAATCTTGCGGTCTCCCATCGCCCCTCGGTCGCATCGCCGCCGCCACCGAGTCACCTCCCATGCACTGCGCATCGTCTCGAGGATTTTTTTCCACACCTCTTGGGTCGATGATTTCTTCCCGGACCGGGGTGACGCGGAAAGGCCGGGATGGGTTGTGATATAATCCAAACTGGGCTTAACTGAACGCACACTTTCTTGCAAGCCGGGATTTAATCCGCACCGGGTTGATCCATGGGGATTGTAGCCCAATCCCGGCCGTTCCCGGGACAACCGAACAAGGCCTAAGAGGAAAAGATTGAAGGGGATTGAGGAAGATTAATTTCACACCTCAATAAGTGTGGAATATTCCTCTCTGAATTACCTTCAATCCCCTTAAGGAGAAATTAACCAAAAATGGTCTAATTTTCGTACTGTAGAAGTGGATTATGTAGAAATATATTTATGTTCAATTCCTCTTCTTAGCTACTGCAAAGTTTGTATGCCACAACCTAGTTTGACTTGAACACCACATATGCAGAGATGACTGAAATGTTACTGAATTGGAACAAGGACCTCACAGAACAAGTTGACAAAAATCGAAGCACGCCACTTCACTTCGCTGCATCACTTTGTAAAGACTTCGCTGCATCACTTAGTGAATATACTGTAATAACGTGGATGTCACGCACTCCGCTCATTCCAGTACTGCTAGCCAACCCAGTTCAGTTGTACCAGCAAGATTCTGAAGGATTGTATCCGATACACGTTGCTGCATCCTCAGGTGCCATTCGGACTATCAAATATTTAATTGAGGAGCAACCTGATGAGATCGCTGGTCTTGTAGATTTTAAGGGGAGGACTTTCCTTCATGTCGCTGTTGAAAGGGGCAGAAGGAATATAGTTGAGTATGCTCACCGTACTCGATCATTGGCTAGGATTTTCAATATGCAAGACAATGATGGCAACACCGCAATGCATATAGCAGTGCGGAATGGAAATAAGTACATTTTTTGTATTTTACTAAGGAACAGGAAAGTAAACTTAAATATACTAAATAATCAGGGGCAGACTCCTTTAGAAATAGCAGACAGTAAGATTCATGAAGGGTTTTACTATGTATGGGTAATACACTTCTCACTCTTTTTGTGTTTCCACTTTCCAGTACAAACAAAGCAAAATAATTAAGTAGTTTTGAATTACAGATCCATATGTTTTCTTTGCAGAACCCAGAAAAATTGATATTGCTGGCATTAACACATTGCAATGCAAGTGGTGGTTGCCGTCGGGCAGATCACTTTCAGAAAAAACAGGCAGACGAAGCGAAGGAATCAGAGAAACTGACAACTTCAACACAAACTCTAGGCATCGGATCAGTACTAATTGTTACTGTCACATTTGGCGCAATTTTAGCCATACCTGGAGGATATAAAGCCGACGACCATTACAATGGCGGTACACCAACACTTGCTGGAAGGTATATATTCGATGCATTCACCATGGCCAACACAATAGCATTCATTTGCTCAACTTTAGCCATCATCCACCTCATGTACTCCGGAATGGCTATGGTTAGTTGGCCCCTCCGTCGCCGGCACTTCAACATATCTTTATTCCTGGCCTTCAGTTCGGTGATAAGTTTGGGTGCTGCTTTTATGCTAGGTATGTATTTGGTACTGGCTCCAGTGGCTCGATGGACTGCAATTGCAATCTGTGTAATGATGATGATTGCATCTCTATGCTTATTCACGGAGCCATTGCATGCACCCCGTGTTGCAATAGCGATGTATGTTAGGAAGGGAAATCAGGTATTGCCAGTTATTGCACGTGTTCTCCTTATTCGAACGCTAATTACATATTGGCCCTGCGTCGTAATCTTTGGCTGGGCAGCGATTTCAACTAAATATGGGGCACACAAGACATGGATGAATCATGAGAGGCACCGGACAACAGAGGTGATCGAGTAGTACTGTGTGGTGAAATTAACACATGCATATCTCTATATTTGTAATCCCCTATCGTTATCCACATGATATAACTCCATAATTAATAGTTTGCTTCAGAAGCTTTGTTGTCGCATGTTGTGCTCAGACATTGTAATACTTTTTTCTGATTCCAATTTTTAACACCGAAACATTGTAATCTGCCTTATCTTAAGGTAAAATTTGCGATAGTACACTTAAAGTTTACCATCTTTACTGTAGGATATCCAAAGAACATATATTATTAACTGTGGGACACCAAATAACATGCATGGTAACTATCGACAGGTGATACTTGTAGACCGTATCCTGAGGGCACTAGGGTACGTTGGAGTAAGGATCTATACAAAACGACATCAAACACATAGAAAACAAGATTTATATTGGTTCAGGCCCCTCACCAACTCATCCGGCCTTCCTCTTTTCCCTCAGGCGGTGACAACGACAGCCACGGTGACGACGCGTAGATCCATCGCTGGCCGTGATGACGATGGCGGCGACAGTGCTTGGATCTGCTGCCGACCGTAAAGACGACAAAATCTGGATCCACCACCAACTAGCCTCGAGCGCGCAGATCGACCGCTGGCCGGGACAACAATGACGGCCGCGACGACGATGGCGACGACGCCTGGATCCACTGTCGGCCGCCACCGCGTCTCCTCCGCGAGCTGCCGCCACCTAGCCCCGGTGAGCCCGCTGCCCCTGCAGCTGCCTCCCCTCCCGCTAGATCTGGCGGAGGGAAGGGCTCCTCCCCGCCAGCGAGCCCACCGCTGCCTCCCCACATCGAGCCTCCCCGCCCGCCGCCAACCCCGCCGACCCCGCCATCGCCTCCCCTCCTGCCGCCGCCGCCGCCGCCCCTCTCACCGGATCTGGCGGAGGGGAGGGCGTGGTCGCCACTGCCGCCTCCGCTGTCCAGCCGCCGGCAGCGGGAGAGAAGGGAGGGAGAGAGGCGAGACGAGAGACGAAGAAGAGGCGAAGGTAGAAAAGACGGAGAAGAGAGACTGAGCCTCGAGCCCTCGACCTTATCCCCTCGCGTTGCCTATCGTGGTGGGCCCGCCGGCTCGGCTCCGTCTCGGCTCGATTTTTGGGATGTTTTGAAAAAAACCGGCACCTATAATATCTAAAAGGTGTCGGTTTTTAATTAACCGACCCCTATAATATATTATAGGTGCCTTTTTTAAAAAAAATCGATACAAAATATAATAGGTGCTGGTTTTTATTTAGAACCGACACCTATAATTACTTAAAAGGTGCCGGTTTTTTACAATTTCAACCTGTGGAGGTGGGAAAAGGCTTATAGGTGCTGGTTTTAGTAGTACCAGCACATATAGTGGCGACACCTATTTTGATGTTTTGTAGTAGTGAACCTTGCCCCGTCTTTCACAATGAATTACACATGCTGGTAAAGTAGGCAACCAAGGGAGCTCACATGGATAAGTAGTTCACACACATCTTTGCATTTAGTTACCTCCATAGCCTCAAGGTCAACAGAGAACATCCTCGGTGATGACCTTCTCACTTGCTGTACGTGCAGTGATGACCTTCTCAGTGTCATTTCAAAAGTAGCCCTCACTACTTAAAAAAGAGTCATCGATGCTGGCTGGGAAACCTCCATAGGTGCTGGATTTCCTAATTAGCATCCTAGAGGTGGTACTAATGACCCCGGATCATGCACTGTTGTTGGTTCCACAACCGGCACCTTTGAGATGCACACGAGCCAAAAAAAAAACAGCTCAATGCATCGAGTCTGCATATCCTCGAAATCCCTAGATCCTAAATGATAACCCAAATCCCAAAAATGATGCCCCAAATCCATGAACACATCAACACATGAACTACAAACAACACATCTCGATCCTCAAGATCAATACCGAGACAAACAAACATGAATAAGCATCAACAATCACAAGAATCACGAGAGGGAGGCAAAAGAGGAGGATCTACCAACCGCTGACGCCATCGCACCTCCAAACCCGTCGTTGTTGTCGCACCTCCCAAACCATCGCCATGAAGGCTCGAAGCGGCTAGATCCAGTGGCCCTTGACCTCTAGGCATACAGATTAGGTGGCCCCATCTTCACACTGACGATCGTCGCCACGTACGTCCTCCAACGTCACGCCGTCGGATCCGCGCAAGCTCGGGCGTCCACCGCGCTCCGCCAGATCCGCACGAGAGCGAGCCTCTGCCACACTCCATCGAGGGGCAAGCGCCACTGCCAAGCGACTCCTCTGAGAGAGAAAGAGCGAGAAAGTCAAGAGAGAGCAAGAGACCGATTCCTGAACGAGGGTTTAATACACATATTAGTTGTGAATTTACAGGCGTGACACGTGCGCCGCCGATTTCGTTGCTGTCGGATTATGGGACTACTCTAGCATGGAAGATAGGTACTCCCCATAGAAAAGTTCGACCGGGGTACAAGTTTTGAGCCCGAGTTTTTGATTGTGTGTGGAAGAGATGAAACACAAGTGATTATACAAGTTCATGTTGAACAGATGCGTTATATCCTATTCATGTGTGGTAGATATGGATGTTACATGGAATTACAAAGTGATGTGGAAATGAAAACTAAGTGAGTAGGTGAAGTTAATTGCTTGCTCATTGGATTTTAATCTAACCTAGATTATATCAGGGTGTGAACCCCTTTCTAGGTGGTATGGATCCTCTTTTTATACGTGAAGGGGAGTCCACAATACAGTTGCATACATGCAAGAGTGGGGCCTACAACTCGAAATTTGATATGCTTAGTCTAGTCATTATCCCTCCAAGCTAGCTAGTCGGATGTGACAGGCACACCTGACAAATGGAGAGGGGAGTTAAAAGTCTTTGTCCCAATAGTCCCCGGGCCCATCCGTTAGCTGGTGTAGCCAATACAGGTAGGCCATGAGGACCGATGATGAGGACACCCATGCTTCACGGGATTAAGTGTTTGTTACCGGCACGGGATCTTCCAAGGGTTGCCTGGGGCATCCTCGGGACCCTAATTAGAGCTAAGGCCTCGTGGGATTAAGTGCTTTTTACCAGCAAGCTATCATATTCAGGTTGCCCCGTGTCCTCGGGACGAGCTGAATCCTCGGGACGAGCCAAGACACCTGAGCATGCTCCCATTGTTGTAAGTAAACTTCTTTGTTGTATTGGATAAGCTTCTCGATGTAAGGAGTTCAAGATGGGCATAACTTAAGATAAGCCATCTGTACCAGCTGGTGCCCGCCGATGCACCAACAAGATGTAGATCTTGTAGGTCTGGACTCTCTTTTTGACACCTTGAAGATCTAAATCTCTTGTAGGTCTCGACACTCTTCGTGAGACCTTGAATATGTAGATCGCCCTCGGGGGATAGGCCCGGAGGAGCCCATAGCGCCCCGAGCACTCCTAGGGTAGTTCTTGTGGTCTCGACACTGTTCTTAAGACCTTGAAGATGCAGATATTGTATGGCTTGGTGGGGCCTGTAGTGCCCTAAGCACCCAAGGGGGAGGGAAACCCCTGTTCCCATTTCTCCAACAACTATCAAGAACTGTAGGCGCACGAAACTGCTGGTAGTACCAAGGGGTGTTCCTGCCATCATGGGCCTCTTCGGCGGTCGCTTGCTTGCAGCCGTACCAAGCTGCAGGGACGGGGGAGGCTTCTTCCTCTAATTAATGCCGGCCACGCCTTGTCGCCCGCCGTCTCCTTTGCTAGATGACTACCTCGCATCGTCGCTCGCTGCCCCGACCTCTCCGCCAGCCATCTTCGCGAATCCCGTCGACGTATGGTGTCATAAAATAATAGGAAATCATAAAATAATATGTATGGTGTGCACCAGCAAATTAACACTTTTATTTTTCTTGAGCAAATTAATTCACGTTCTTGGAGTGTCTTGTAGCAAAGACCACATCTCTTGAGTATCATGTAGCAAATTTTGCCCTTATTATAATATGGTGGAGTCCAGACTGAGTGAAATCTAAACGTGTCATGATATGTACTTCCTCTGTTTCAGGTTATAAGATGTTTTGACTTTGGTCAAAGTTAAATTGTTTCAAGTTTGACTAAGTTTATAGACAAATATAGTAATATTTATAATACTAAATTAGTGTCATCAAATCAATAATTGAATATGTTTTCATAATAAACTAGCATGGTGGCCCGCACAGATTGCGCGGCTAGCATCATTATATTTTCTCTTATATAATAGCATATATGTTTTCTTATTGTATTATTCAAATATATTAAAATGACAACATGATTCTAAATTTTGCAATAACTTTATAAAACTACTAATGTGTAATATTCATATTGTATTTTATATACATGTTAGTTATTAATTATTTTTAATATCAAATTTTAGTTAATTTTCTGTAAATTGTATTTCTATATAGACTCTATGCTCTTCTTTCAATATTATTTATTTTTATTTATGAATTTTTATTATTTCTAATTGTATTTCTATGTGGACTCTAAACTCATCTTTCAATATTCTTTAATTTTTAATTTCGAATTTCAGTTACTTCTAAATTGTATTCCTATATTGACTTTAAACTCTTCTTCCCATGTTTTTCTTAATTTCGAATTTTAGTTATTTGTAAATTATATTTTTATACAGACTCTAAACTCTACTTTTAATTTTATTATGTTTATTCTAAATTTTAGTTAGTTTTAAATTTCTATATGGACTCTATACTCTACTTCTAATATTCCTTATTTTTTAATTCCGAATTTCTATTTTTTTCTTAATTTTATTTCTATAATGTCTCTATACTCTACTTCTAATATTTCTTATTTTTAATTCCGAATTTTAGTCATTTCCTAATTATATTTATATATGGACTCTATACTCTACTTCTAATATTTCTTATTTTAATTCTGAATTTCAGTTATTTCCTAATTGTATTTCTATATGGACTCTATACTCTACTTCTAATATTCCTTATTTATAATTCTGAATTTCAGTTATTTCCTAATTGTATTTCTATATGGACTCTACCCTCCTCTTCTAATATTCCTTATTTTTTAATTCCGAATTTCAACTATTTCTAAATTGTATTTCTATATGGACTCTAGTCTCCTTTTCTAATATTCCTTATTTTTTAATTCCGAATTTCAGCTATTTCTAAATTGTATTTCTATATGGACTCTGCTTTTTCTTTTTCACCGATTAATGTGAGAATTTCTAGGCCATGAGAGCGAACGTGGAGGCTCGTTTTTCTATTCTTTTAATAATATAATAGATTTATGTTGGGTTGAAAATGTTACTATTTTTATTTATAAACTTAGTTAAACTTAAAGCGATTTGACTTTGACCAAAATCAAAACGTCTTATAACCTGAAACGTAGGGAATACATTCGACATTGCTCACCCTTGAAAATTTCCAGCCGGTTAAAATAGCTTGTGGAATCTTGTATTAGCATTTTTCCAGAAAAAGTTTTTTTTTATTGAAAGAAGAGAAGGGATTTGGCTTGTACTCTTATGGATAAAGCAGATATTTCTCAAGAAAATTAAGTTGCTTCACCAGTAATCTCAGGCTCTGAGCTAAATTAGCTGCCGTCCTCCGAAACTGAGTACATTAAACATTTATGAACATCCATTCTCCTCTAGTAGAAAACAGATATATTTGGATCTTTAAAAAGGATGAGAAAAATGGAGATTAAGCTATAAATACACATCGATTTTTCCAGCAACGAGATGCCGGCTAGCTAGTCGGAAGACAGTGCGGTCCCATCGGTGGTCTCCGAAGATGGGAACGACGGCGCCGGCGGAGCCGTCAAGGCGTCAACCGATCGAGACCCGTACGCACGTCCAGTGATTGCGAGCTGTGGCACGGCCCTGTACAACTGCCGCGGCAGCGCCGGCGCGCAGCAGCGTCACGTCGTCGGTGCGATGGACGGCCGCTCGCTCCGGTCAGGGTGCGCGCACCAGAGGCCGACGACCAGCACGCGCTCTATCTGCCAAAGATCGCTGTGCTCCTCGTCATCGTCGTCGCCCCTCAGCCGCGGGTCGACTGCGTCAAGGATACTGCTCCGGCCGTACAGGTTCCACACCCATTTCAGCAGAACAACAAGAAGCCGTCGGGCGTGTCCGTCACGGGTCCCAGCCTGCCTAGTGCGAGAATCTCGGCGTGATGGGCTGGTGAAAGATGTGAAAGAAATCAATTGGAAAAACTTTGCCAGAAATATAGCATTTCCGAAATATAAAATCGAATCACACCACACTCACACCGCAACACACGACACATACGGTTGATACAATATGACAAGAGAGAGATCGACCATCTCCGAGAGACCGAGACACAGATCCTCAGACATCATGCATGCAAGCATGGTACGACGTACAGTACATCACATTTTACGAGATCGATAACCAGGAGGTCGACGAAGCAGGTTATATTCCACGAATCGGCCGGGGAATCAGTACGCAAACGAGCCAGACGACCGTGTCGTGCCACTGGTAGCCGACGAGGGGACGCCGCTGCTCGTGAAGGACGAGACGCCGGAGAGACGGTACTCGCCCATCGCGAAGTTCTTCGCCGGCGACGGCGAGGCCATGTACATCTGCGGCCAGAGATCCGGCAGCTTCGCGTCATCGGACTGCAGGACGTGCATAGCCTGTGGAATGGACGGACGATCCGCCATGTCAGGCTGTGTGCACCACAGCCCGACGATCAAAACGCGCTCCATCTGCCGCGCGTCGTCCTCTTTGCCGCCACCGGCGGCCCAGAGGCGCTCGTCCGCCGCGTCCAGGATCGCGTTTCGGCCGTACAGGCTCCACACCCACTTCAGCAGCATGAACGGCGGCGCGCCTTCCTGCAAGAGAACCGGTGGCCGGCCGGAGACGATCTCGAGGAGGACGATGCCGAAGCTGTAGATGTCGGACTGAACGCTCGGCCGGCGCGTGGTGATGAACTCTGGGTCTATGTACCCGGCAGTGCCGAGCACGGCCTTGGTCGTCTGCCATCCCTTGTCGTGGTCGACGAGCCTTGCCAACCCGAAGTCACCTAGCTTGGTGTTGTATGACGAGTCGAGCATGATGTTGCTTGGCTTGATGTCGCCGTGCACGACGCATTGCTCCCACTCTTCGTGAAGGTAGCGTAGTGCCGATCCTAACCCAAGAATGATCTTATACCTATATATATATATCGACAAAACCAATGATTATGCATGCATGATCTGTATAACATACCAAAGAGATCATCGATCAACCTAGATCTCTATGGTCAAATTAAGGAGATCTTGTGTGGCATGCATACCTCTCTGACCATGTTAATGGCTTGTCGGCGTTGTAGATATGCTTGTCTAGGCTACCGTGCTGGACAAGTTCGTACACGAGCAAGAGCCCCATGGAGCTATCGCACCAGCCTAACAAGCGCACGAGGTTGCGATGCCTCAGGGAACTGATGATCTTCACCTCGGCCTCGAACTGCTTCCTGCCCTGCGACGACGAGTCCGACGAGAACTTCTTGATGGCCACCTCGACGCCGCCGGCGAGGCGGCCCTGGTAGACGCTGCCAAACCCGCCCCGGCCGAGCTTCTCCTCCTCCGCGAAATCACGCGTCGCGGCCGCGAGCTCGCCGTACTCGTACAGCCTCGGTCCAGCGGCAACGAGCTCGTTGTACGCTGCACCGTGCCTCGGGCCGTCGGACACCACTCGCTCGCCATATTCGTACTGCCTTGGTCCGGCGGCGGCTGCTGGGTCGCCGCCGTACTCTTTACCGTGGTTTGGTCCGGCGGACGACGCCACTGGCTCGAGCGCACCGGCTTCAGCGTCACGAAGCTCGTTAGGCTCGCTCTCGTGTGTGGCGGCGGCTTTGATATGTTGATGCTTCGTGCTAAGGGCCATCCTTTTTCTGCGGCACTTGACGTATACGTAGAGAAGGATGGCCATAAATAATATGCACACCGGGACTGTTACAGCTATAATGACCGGAAGTGGATTTGGCGGTGGCGGGGGCGGGGGCGGAATATCCGCCGCAGGTGCGACCCAAGGTGCGTTGCTAGGACTAGGAGAATGTGGCGAAGGTGCTGCTGCCGGACCAGGTCCAGGTGGAGGTGTCATGTCTGGTGCAGGTGGCGGTGCAGGCGAAGATTGAGGTGCCGGGGTCGGAGGTGGAGGTGGCATGTCTGGTGCAGGAGGTGGCGGTGGTCCGGATTCTGGAATAGCAGGTGGAGGCGTAGCTTGAGGTGCCGGGGTCGGACGTGGAGGTGCAGGCGAATCTTGTTGGATTGGATCAGGTTCAGTCCCCATTGGGTATTTGGGTTCTTCGCGAACGCCACTAATCCACTACAAGAAAGAGAACCAAGGGAGCTCAACGATCGAGCCGGCGATCGACCGACCTCGATCCTCCGGCAACTAGTGTATCCTAGCTAGCTATGTACCAAGAAATGTGGTGTCTGGGGCGAATGGTACCAGATCGCATGGCACACGGATAACTTATATATGAGATTTCGGAGCGCTTTGCCTTTCAATAATTAGCATCACGCGAGTACAGCTGATCCCGTTGTCCTAGTCCGACATGCATGGAAACCAGTTAGTCGTTTTGCTAGTTGCATCTGTGAGATTCTTTTGCAACTTGCATTTCATCATATATTATGTGCTATTGGTAACGCAGGCTGACAGTTGACTTCACCTAGTCTTCACGTGTGATATTCGTGATAGAATAATTGGCAAATGTGTTTATTGTTTCACTTAACGAGGATAAGTTGGGATGAAATAGTTTTCATAAGATGTTTTATTTTATTATGAAATTAAAAAGATGCATAATGGAGATACAAATTTTACGTGAAAAACACTTACGGGAAAAAGCCACGGGCGCCGACCGGCAATGATCACTATTGAGGAGTTGATTACAAATATAAGAGAAAAACAATTGAAATGTCACCCCTTCTCATACGGTTTACATGAGTATATATAGGAGATAAAAAAGACACGTAATAGGAAAAGACGTGAAGTCCTATTAGGAATCCGAATATATTGTATGCCTAAAATTCAGATCACATATTTAACAATCTCCACCTTAAAACAAATTTCCTCTTGTAGCATAAAAATCAATCATCAATCACCCAAAATACCTTATGTAGGTAAAATCAACGCATGCCAAATAGTTTCTAGGACTATACTGTAACATCAACCTAGCTTGAGCAAAGCTCAAACTTAGTACGTAGCGGGATCTGGCTTTGTCATCATATTAGCTAGGATATCATGAATATTTATCTTGCATATTTTGACATCACCTTCAGCAATCACACCTCAAATAAAGTAATATCTCATGACTATCACAAAATATATCAACCCAAGACATAACTCCACAACGCTCAGTGTACAAACCTCTAAGACAAATAGCTTCTTTACAATCTTCAGAAATAGTTATATATTTTGCTTCAATAGTAGATAAGGCAACAGTTGCTTGCAAACTTGCCTTCCAACTAACACCACATCCTCCAATAGTGAAAACATAACCTATGAGCGATCTTATTCTGTCCAAATCTGCAGCAAAATCTGAATCCACATAACCAACAAGCCCATCTCTAGATCTCCCAAACTACAAACAAGCACTAGAAGTACGACGTAGGTATCTGAAGATTCATTGAACAAAGTACTAGAAGTACCAAGTAGGTATCTGAAGATTCACTGAACAACTTTCCAATGCACTTTGCCAGAATTAGCCATATATCTATTAACAACACTCAATACATATGATAAGTCAGGATGAGAACATACCATGGCATACATAACTGAACCAACTGCACTTAAGTATGGAACTCTAGACAAGTACTCAACATCACGACCTGATTATGGATATAAATCTAAAGATAATATGAAATGTGTAGCTAAAGGCGTACTGACTGGTTTTGCGTCATGCATATTGAAACGATGAAGAACTTTTCAATATAACCTTTATGACTAAGATATAACTTGTCAGACTGTCTTTCTCTAGTAATTTTCATATCTAGAATTTTCTTCGCTGCACCCAAATCATTCATCTCAAATTGACTACTCAATTGTACCTTCAATTTTGCTATATCTAATTTATCTTTTGCAGCAATCAACATATTATCGACATAAATAAGCAAATATTTAGTTGAACTATGAACAACTTTGAGATAAACACAACTATCAAAATTGAATATTTTAAACTTCTGAAAAAGCATGACAGAGTCAAATCTCTTATGCCACTGACTAGGTGACTACTTCAACCCATAAAGAGATTTCTTCAACCTACATACTAGGTTATCTTTTTCACGAACAACAAAACCTTCAGGTTGATCCCTATAAATGTCCTCTTCTAACTCCCCATGTAAAATGCAGTTTTAACATCCATTTGCTTTAGTTCAAAATAATGCATTGCAACAATACTGAGTAATATGTGAATTGAACTATGCTTCACGATAGGGGAAAAACATTATTGAAATCAATACTTGAAATCTAGTTATAACTTTTAGCAACTAACCTTGCTTTTTGTCCTGCCTCATCACTTGGAGATATACCTTCCTTTCTTGAATATCCACTTGCAACGGATAGGTTTCTTCTACTTTGACAATTTCACCAATTTCCAAGTACGATTCTTTTCAAATGATTCCATCTCATCATACATCACAATTATCCATCTATTGCAATCATTAGAAACAATAGCCTCAGAATATATAGAAGGTTCTGCATTACCTTTAATTTCTTCTACCACACTCAAAGCATAAGCAACTATGTTCGCTTCTTCAATATATTTTCGAGGAGGTCTAGTATTTCTTTTGGGATTATCTTTTGCAATAGAATGTTTCGGTGAGTGCTCAACAGTTGAAGAATCTGAATCTTCAATATATAACAGGTACATCTTGGTTAATAGCAACATCTTTCTTTTCTGGTGCATGCCCTGATTAAGTGATCCACCAGCATACTTGCTTTCTCCTGACTCTCAGCAAGAACATTAGTTATGTAACACAATTGATTCATGGAAGACAATATTTCCCCTAGCTGTGTCACTCGGAGTTGTATTCCTGCATGTGTATAGCTAATTAATTCATCTTTTTGTTATACCCACAAGTGTGTAAAATTCTTTTGCAGGTGCATTGTCCTTATAGGAGTACTTAATTTGAAATGGACATTTTCTTGACCTCGTCTTAAGCTAGCTTGCTTCATCCTAAATACACCCTACATCCTAAATAAAGGGCTATCCTAATATTCATATTTCGTCCCAACCTAATAGGTGCACTTTTGTAGAAGGATTTTTATAAGATTCACTGAATTAACTAAAAAGTTGATTTGTTTCATTGATATCGGACTTAAAAAAAGAAGCTAGGGCTAGAATGGTTTTTTCTATTCTTTGAGGCGGGTTGCACCTGTCAACTCTTTTTCTCTTTAACCACATCTTATTTAAATTTATTTTCATCTTAATTACCCCAACCACCCTCCCACACTTCTAATCACCCTTTCTTTAATGAGGAACATCTAAATATTATTTTTCTTTCCTGATAGTTTATTAGCTGAATCGTAGGTATTATAGTAATTTTGGGACTGAGAGGGAGCAAATTTTAAATCTATATTATCTCTACTACTAAAGGCTAAGATTGCTCGAAGGATCCTCCCATTGCATCCAACGATCCACGCTCCTCCTCTCATCTCGTATCGCCGCGCTCCTCCTTTCGCTCGCCTGCTCTCTCCTTTCGCTCCTCCTTTCCTCTTTCTCGTATCGCCGCCGCCACCCCACATCCGCCGCCCTCGCTGCCCCAACCCCACCTCCGCCGCCCTCGCCGCCCGACCTCGGGATTCATCACCCGCCTCCACCAACTTCGTCACCTCCCCGGTGCCGACTTCGTCCCTCCCCTCACCATCGCCGGAACCCTAACCACCGCCCCCTCGCACCGCCCGACACCCGTCGACTAGCTTCACCGCCGACGTCATCCCTCCCCTCGCCATCGTCGGATGACACGCCTACACCCCGCCGCCGCCGCCCTCGCTGCCCCGACGTCATCCCTCCCCTGACCTTCGCCGCCCGCCGATTCCTCTAACCGCTGGCTCATCGTGCCGCTAGACTCCGTCGACGAGGGCCGCCGCCGACGTCATCCCTCCCCTCACCGTCGGCCGCCGATTCGCACCGCCCGACCGACGCCGTGGCACATCCTGCTCACAACACTCGCTCTGGACAGGTATTCTTCGTTCCAATGCACTCGTACTGCTCGATGAAATGCCTTGATGAGAACATATTTAATTGCACATGATTGGCAGCGTTTCTATGTTATTGTCAGGCAGTATTTGTTTATGATTATTGTTCCTAGATGCTACAGTGTTTGAACCAACTGCATGGTTTCTGTGTTTCAAAACGTGTAGGGCATATCTCCAGCTCCACATAGCTATATTAGTAGTGCATTTGTAAAGAATTGGCAATATTTCAGCTTTGGACTTCCATAGTTACTGACTTCCAACATCATTAACAATATCAAGTGAGTTTTTTTTAACGGTTGACATATGTGTTGTGAAATTCCAAAATACTATTACAGTCAATCACTCTTCATATAATTTTTCAGGTAAGAGCACCTTTCATACAAAACACAAAGTGCCCGGTGAAATATAAAACACAATTTAAAGCCTTTTTTTTAATAAATATCCTGTACTAATGCAGTAAAATTGCACTTTCACACACCCACACAAAATTCAGTGCAAACCCAAAAAACAGAAGAGAAAAAAAATCCTCTAATCCCATTTTATCTGTAAGGATGTTGAAATGGCCTGGCAAAAAAAAATCCTTCGATGATAGGTGTACCTTATTTTATCTACCGATCTGATGTCTTGCATCATAATTATTTATATGAATGAATTGACAGCTCGATATTTGTCTACACCCTCCATTTTTTTCCCCGATTCATCCATTGCCTGACTGTTTACATGAATGCATGTAGAATCTTGTGCTGTTTTGGTTCATAAGTTTAGTAGATAAAATCTTATGATGCAGTAGGAAATTCCTTTTTCCTTGGATGATATAAAAGTAACTTACTGTTTGGATGTGAGCAATTAGACATGTCACTAGCTAGCGCTCCAACAGATCAGGTCAAAGTATGTTCCCACCCATGTTTGCAAGTAAAAAGATTATGCAGGTCCATTTTGTTTGTTTACTATTCCTTGGTATTATTTCCCAAATTCAGTTGTTCAGCATGGGAAGGCTTCTTTTGTCAAAATGGGTGATGGTCAGTAATGCAGAGCTTTTATTTTGTAACTTTAGTGGCACAGATGGATTCTAACCAAGAATTTGAGAATATTATTAATCCATGTCGTACGCTTGTGTTAGGAGTTTATGACCCATGTAGAGAAGCATGTGGCAATAGTACAGTAGCATCTTGGATTAATCATCCTATCAATTGGAGTATTTGTGCATGTAAGTAAAAGTCAGATAAAGATTTACGACTGAATATGATTGTGTTTAAGCATAATATAATAAATTCATATGCTAATCTTAATTCATTTTCATGATTGTTGATTTGTAGGTATGCTTGCATTTTCTCCCGAGGGAAAACTCAAATAGTCTCAAATTCAGCTTACAAAACAGGAATGGAAGATCTTTGATTTCTGTATTTTTCTTTAGATTAAATCTGTTTTGCAGTTATGAGAAAACAAGGCCATTTGTTATTATTATGTACGAGTATAATGCTTTGGCAGCAAATTTCTTTACTTACAGTTTCACCTCTTACTTGGAGTGCACTGTATAGAAAAATATGATTCAGATTGCATTTCCCATTCAATGTACGCTTCAATAAGGAATTGTGAGAGATGACCTTTGCATCCTTCTAGCTATTTATTTTCCACTTAAGATCTACGGAGTATCACATCAAGTGTCAGTTCTTGATGGCATGCCATTGACGAAGCCAGTCGTGCCTTCTACCTGAACACAACGGACACTACCTCCCCACTTGAACAGGTAATCTGTCATGATGTATTTTTCTCTCCTAATTTGCACTGTGTTGAGATGAATCCTTCTATACAGACCAAATCTGGAACCTCTATCTTCATGGACTTCACAGCTCGACAACTCCATCCTCCAAACTCTGTTGTACAGAGCACCTGGGACAAGACTACCACCCACATCAAGCATGCCCAGGTATGCAGGTACCTGCATATGTTTTCTCGCTGGCATCCTGCTTGAGGAAATGCCAATTTGGGACGGCCTAGGTGTGCAAAACTGATGTATGGATTGGTTCAAGAAAATGCAGCACAATATCTGAAGCTGGTATGTCAATATCCTTATTACCTATGTCTTTATCTCTGCACATCAGCGTTTGTGGTTAAATCACATCAAAGAAATTTTTACCAACAAACTCGCAGATCACAAGAAATATATTATGCAATATAGCCTGATCACTTAATGTTCAAATGTGCTCCAGCAAAATTCCTGAGGTTGCTATTTTAGAGATGTGCACCGGGATAGAATCCCAAATTCTAGAGTTAAGGTCATGTCCATGCTGCAATAGCCTGGAAACAAAATCAGAATATTACCTTCTTGTATTTGTTCTCTGCAGGAACATGGGCCATTTCGCTAACCCGAAATGATTGGGTGTTAAAAAAAATTGCTTTCAGATATGTTGCATTTGCCTTGTAGAGTTGTTTCCCTTTTGCAACAGTGGAGACCTTTGATTCCTTCGAAGCTGGCAGGGTACTTGGATGCTTTAAAGGGATTGCTGCTTGTCAAAATTCACGAGATGAGGATCAAGTCTCAACTAATGATCAAGAAGATGGGAGACCGTGGAGTTCAGTTTTCCAGCTAGCTATAAGTATTCGGTAGTTCTGCAACTGTTTGATGTCTGTTGCTGTCATTTTTGTGCCGAAATGGACCGTTCCCTTTTGAGATAGCTCGAGATGAACCGTTCTCTAGAGATATAGCTTTGGTTCTGTTGTTTTAGCAGCTTGGCATTTGGTTGCTGCTTAGCTCAGACTGGCTTGTTCTGCCTATCTGCTGAGCTAGCAGCTTTGCCTTTGTCCCATGCTGCTGCAAGTTAAGCTTGAAACTCCAGCAAAACGTGTATCATACTCGTATGCTTTTAGTAAGGGTGTGTTGACGCCAAAATTGAAAGTTTGGTTGAAATTGGAACAATGTGACGGAAAAGTTATTAGTTTGTGTGTGTATGAAAGTTTTGATGTGATGAAAAAGTTGGAAGTTTGAAGAAAAAGTTTGGAACTGAACTCGGCCTAAAGCTGGGCGAAAGACTTTTGTCTAAAACAAGGTCTGATGCACTGATCACAAGAAAATAATGTGAACAGATAAACAAATGGTGGCAATAAAATTCAGAGATGTCCAATCCCTCTCATATATGTGAGAGAAAAATGTTAATTAATTCGGTGAAATTCAGCTAGGGATTTGCTGGCAGTACAAAATTTTGCTGTGGCGTTAGCACGGACACGCTACTAGTTTAGTTATATAATACGATCTATGGTTATTACAATACAATCCACCCAATCAATCGTCATATCTTTCGATTATAATGTGAGAGTTACCTAAAAAGTGCCCAATCAGTAGATAGAGCTAGATAGATACAAACATATAAATACAGATGGATGTAATTTTGTGTGATCACTTGCAGATAATTAAAAACTGAATATGCTATTTTATTTTTTGTGATCTAGCAAATTATATTGATCAAGAAGCAAATGACCAGTTCAAATGCAGCGCCTCATGCATTCATGAGGAAGGGATGACTTTTTTTTTTTTTGGAAAATGGAATGTATTGAGCTAGTGTATGCCAGGGACGATTAATGCGCCAACGTCTGACTTGCTCAGGTCCGTTTCTGCATGCATATGCATTCTCGCATAGTTGTATTACAAAATATACATATATAGCTTGCACATGGTACAACTAAGATGCATATGGCAAGAAAGTTGGGTGTACGTTACAAACGCGTGCTTTGTTGGCAACTCTTTCTGGATCTCCGGAAGAGGAAGGACCCCAACATGTACTTCTGTTATCGGAAACTAAAATGGAAGACACTAGAATAAATAACACTAGCTAATATAGAAAGCATTTTTCATGGGGTCAAAACATATTTTTTTCGTGCGGTTAGGCTGCCAGTCTGACCAAGAAGGTTTGCGAAAATAGTGATTTTTACATGTGGGTGGCGCACCCACATGCGAAAATAAGATTTTGCTTGTGGGTGCATATATTGTCCGCACGCGAAAAGGAAAAAATAAAAATCCATAAATCCCAAAACCATAAATTAGATTTTGCATGTGGGTGCTTATGTCGTTGCTCGAAGTTGATGCCGCCGTCCTCATCATCGCTCAAAGCCACCGCCACCGTTCTCATCATCCTCCTCCTGGTCGTCGTGCGAGGAAGAGGGCGGCAGGATCCATGCGGGAGAGGAAGGGGGAGTTGGGTCTGTCCCTCCCATCACCCCGGTGGCTCGTTATCATTGCCATTGCCGCGCGGGAGGGCGAGCAGGATCCGACACCGATGTGCCTCCCCACTGGATCCATTGCTGCCCCATTCCCCATAGTGGGATCCGCCACCGCTGCACTTCTCACCGCCGCCGAGCACCTCCCCCCCATTGGACCCGTCGCTGCCACGCCTCCCGCCAACCATGGCCGGATCCACCCCTCTCGAGGCCAGTCAGTGGTGGATCCGTGAAGGAGGCGGAGAGGCCCACTCGGCCGCTGTCAAAGGGGAGGAGGAAAGGCGATGGGAGAGCGCCACTGTGACATCACAGATTATTGGTTGAAACATTTAAAGAAAAACACGTGCAACATTAATAAAGCTATTGTTTTTCATCATAATATGATCAAGTATGATCTTGTTATAAATATTTAATTATAATAAATTTAATGGTGTAATCGGATCATAGATCAAAATAATAATTTAAGTGAAAAAATAGTTTGAAACTTATTAAAGAACCCATTATCTATGGGAAGGATAGATAAAGGAAGGTAGGCTAGTAGGCGACAGCTACATGCATAAAGTGCACAACAATAGATAGGAGTATGCATGCAAAAGGTGGTCCGATCTTTTCGGCGTGAATCGGTGAGTAGGAGGATTTTCGCAGAAGGTACGCACGACAAATTAATAAATCCAGTTTGAGTTTGGAGCTTTTTAGGCTCTCTTTAAAGCTCGTTTAGGCCTTGTTACTTCGCACGCTAAACAGGAAATATATACTAGTTAAATATTAAAAATTACAAAATTACAAATGTGTTTATTTGATGTTTTTAAAATAAATTTCTATATAAAAGTATTTGAAAAAAATATGCTTGGGAAGTATACTAGTGCTAGGTGCGCGCGGCCGGCTATCGCATGCGCTCCTGGCCGTCACGTAAGCCGTGGCGTGTAACCGTACGTGCAGGCTAGGTGTCTGTGTGCTTCGGAGAGTGAAGCTAGAGGCGGCTGCGCTGAACGTGCGTAGTACTATACTACCGTTTCCGCGATTGATGAGAGGCGTGACGGCGGTACGTGTACCCGAACGACCAACGGCGGCGTGATTAGGCGCTATATATAGGCACTCACGCAATTGTGACCTATGACCATGTGAGTACCCGATATAGCTGATTCGCCTCGCGTTGTGTGGTTAGCGCTATAATTGTTCTCATAGGAGGTCCTCTAGCGCCAAGACAATCAGAGTCAGCAATCGCTAAGGTAATAAAATGGAGCCGGCCCTGATGTGATAAAAGAGCTATAGGGTCGTACATACATACATGCATGATTCTCTCATTTCATCTGAAATTCGAATGCAGATCAATTGGGGAGTACTAATTAACGAAATTGATTACTTAAGGCCAATCTATCTATCTATCTATCTATCTATCTATCTATCCGTCTATCTATATTTATACTAATTGGACACTTCCTACGAGCTCTCACGTTAACCAGAAAAATCCAACCGTTGATTAGATAAATCATGGTATAGTAACCATTGATGTAAAAAATAATTTAGCTACGCATAGCAATTCTGATGGGCCACGTTAAAGCCCATCTAATGATCGAGCAAGGAGGTTATTTTATTCTATCTATTACGAATAGTTATCTCCAGCACCAGGGATAGAGAGAAACAGGGTTGTCTCCTGCAGCAATGGCAGCGGTGACGAACGACACAAGATGGTCGATCTGGACTCCAACTGGAGGCATCAGTGCAAGCGAAATTTGTTGAAGTTTCAAAGCCATGGAAAAAACTCTATGGCACACAAGTGATGACCTTCAGATCTCTTCCAGGTAATGTTTTTCCTCAATCCAGATAGGTTTCTCATGCATCCCAAACAATACAAAACCTTTTGGGTTGAGATTTGCCATCGTCTGAACCTCTAAATTTGATAGGTCATAAATCAAGATGTTGGTCGTCAAATAAAAAATAACGCTTGCGCATCCGTTGCCGTGCATGCAATCTTCTATCGTCAGAATCCTCCACCCTTGCATCTGTATTCTAAGTAAGATGCAGGTACCCATCAATTTTGCATGAACCGATCGATCAATTATGCATGTCCTGTGTCATCTATTTTCACTACTGATTTATTCTGAGTGCATACGATGAAATTTGTATGGTCAGTCACACATGATTCTCACGGCATCATCTAATGGTTGTATGTAATACAGGCTAAGGAAGGAGATGTGTCTACGCAGCGACGACTAATGCACAATCAATTAACCTTCATTTTAATGCTCCCTCCATTTTTTTCTTGGTCGATGAGGGCTTTATGCGGAAAAAGAAATTAACTACTACCTCTGTTTTCTAAACTAGGAAGGTAGCCCGCGCAGATGCGCGGGCACCTTTTTTAGTGGTGTTTGAAAATTTGTGACGAATGTTTATGTATAGGATTTTTTTAAAAAATTTTTTTTTGCTCTTCTAAATCTTTGTTTATTAATAACATTTTTAGGATTGTTTTGAAAGTTGGTTTTGATCACTGGACTATTGTAAGTGGACTGGTGTGTATGTGAGCCCACCCGTTGGTTGGGCATAGCTACGTGGTTCTAGAGAGCAGGCTGTTACAGTAACTATGGCCCATGAAAGCTGTGTGCATATATTTAGTATCACCCTCCTAGTTTAGCAAGAGTATAACCAACTTATAAGGCCTCATCCCTCCAACTATATTACTCCTGAGTTAACCCTTTTATAGCCTCATCCCTCCAACTATGTCACTCCTGAGTTAACCCTTTTTCACGAAGCGATAACGAAAGTGTAAGTGGACTGGTATGTGTAAGTGAGCCCACCTGGTGGTTGGGCTTAGCTACGTGGTTCTGGAGGGTGGGCTGTTACAGCGACTATGCAAGTAAGTTAGACCGACGGAGATGTCGGGTCTTTTGAGGGGGTGTATGTGACATCCTAGTGTAATTAGGATGTGGTCTATGTTTTTTTTTAATTTAAAGGATGTAACATGTGTTGTCCATAAACAGCATTATGTGCACTTGAGTAGTTTCATCTTGCTAGTTAAGCAAGAGTGTAGCTAATAAGGCATTGCCCCTCCAACCATATTATTTTTAGGTTGACTATTTTAAACTAAAGTAGCTACAAATTATAAACTAAAATTATTTACACATGTCATCTTAAATTTATGAGAAAAATATGTCACAACAATGGAGCTGGTTCATATGAAACTATCATTTTCTACTACATGTGTTTCTTTTTTAAAATATTTAGAATCTTAATTTAAACTTTTAAGTTATATTTTTTTTCTTGTATACTAAATATGTCTCTGTATATTTTAGGATATATTAATTTAAGGAATTTTCTATTAAAAATATGATAATATGACTTTTTTATCTAATTAAAGACATAGTCACGTACTACTACCTCCATCCATAAATCGAAGGATTCAAATTTTAACCTAAAATATAAGGGATTTTTAATACTACTCCAGCCATTCTTCATTTAATTTTTATCCAACATTACTCTAACCATCTTCTAACTCTCTACATACCCTTATTTAATGAGCCTTATTTAATAATGGGTATCTTAGTATTTTTCGTTCCTCCTTAATTCTTATAAAATGTTAGGATCCATTATAGGACGGAGATATATAGTAATAAAAAAGAGCTTCATTCATAGACGGATTTATTTGTACCTTTGTACATTGATTTAGCTTTACATATTTGTATAGGTAAACAGACCTCGTATACAAGTTAAGAAATATAATTAAGTTGGTAGAAAGTTGTTAGATGTCTAATGGTATGAAGTAATTAATCCACCAATTTTATTAAAAAATTAAGGTGGATATTTTTTTAGGTAATTTTTAGAATCTTCTTTTATTCGGTGGTTAAATTAATTGTTGTAAGGAAAAAAATGAGGCGAGAGCCAGTGGGTTCGTCTCATCGGTGAGGAGGCAACTATATACATGTGTTGTTCATACGCACTCTGACGGATAAGGTCGATAGGTTTGGGTAAGATGATTTTTTTTCTCAGAATTTCTTATATTTACTTTAATTTATAAGAGCGTCGTCACAGCTTGAGAGCGTTTGTATTACTTTTAATAGACTTTTACTATATAATAATAATAGATAATTCATGTCGTATTAATTAATATATCGATCTGTATATAAACAATTTCTATGTATGTATTTGGTTGTTGGCTAAAAAATAGGAAATAAATAGGAGAGACACGGATGGGGAGGGTAGAGGGTGTGGGAGGGGAGTAAGTACATACATGCGCACGTATTTCCTCTTTTCTTTCGGAACGTATATTACCTGAACTTGTGAACAGAGAGGGGAACGTGCCGATTTTTTTCTTGAAGATAATATTTAATGGTGGAAATTATTAATTTAATTGTTTAAAATATTAGGTCCACCAGTTTAAATTAAAGTGCCACGTGGCGGTATAGGAGCATTTATAGGAGTGCTACGTAGAGGTTTAGAAGCGTTTGTAGGAAGTTTAATGGACTTTTAGTATATAATAGATAGTGATACCACTAACTTTTGACATGACATTTGACTATTTTTCCTATAAAAAATATATATCTCATTTAAAATTATATGATGTTTCTTATTTTGTTGAGGTATGTTTTTAATTAAATATACTTTAAATCTGACTCACACTTCAGCATATTTACACTATTTTTTAATAAAACAAGTAGTCAGATGTTATTTCTAAAGTTAACGACGTCATCTATTAAAAATAAAAATGGAAGTAGCACTAATATTAATATTTATGTCTGACAGTTGAGTCCGATGAACAGAAAGAGATTCATCTATGGTTGATCACCTCATCTGTAATCTACACATGTACAGCTGAATTTGCATCTTCTATTAATTTCAACACATTCTCGGATGTATTATGCCAAACATGCATGTTCTATTTGCCTAATTCAAGACATCCATGAATTTGCTTTATTTTGATTGAAATAATAAATTATGCTGCTAATCTTATATCAATTCAATATCTGTTTTCTCATAACTCATAAGTACATTGTCAAAGAAATCAGGTTGATTAACGGCATAAATCTCATGCTCACTATAAAATTTGGATTATTTATTTGATCTTAATCTGTAAACAAAGAATATATATTGATCTATATCTTTCTGAAAGAAAACTAACAACTAATAACTAATTTTCAAATGTGTTGTCCATATTATCCTTATGCGTACTGTATACAGCCCATGGCATATTATTGCTATTCATGTCATTGGATATTTTAAAAGTATTATTGCGAAAGTATATTATATTGAGAATTTGTGTTAGATAGAACATGGCATGGGCGATACCAAGGACTATTCAGGATTTGTTTTTTTTTTCTCTAAAACTAAGAATCAATAGAGATACAGAATTGTATCTATTTGGACTTTATCAATTTAATTTTGAAATTCCAAATTGATAATTGTAAATTATAAGTGACATTTTTATCCTAAACCCCATAATTCGTAAATGATTTTGAATTAATAAATACGGAGAACCCATCTTGGATTCTCAATTTAGCTTCCCATATTAATTTAATTCTAAAATTAATAATCAGAAAGTTGTAAATGACATGAAATTTTTTTTATTATAAGCCGCTATGAATAACCAACATATTTAACGTAAAAATTTTTAATAATAATAATAATAATAATAATAATAATAATAATAATAATAATAATAATAATAATAATAATAATAATAATAATAATAATAATAATAATAACCCGTGCAACGCACGGGATGGCGACAACTCTACTATAATCCACTTTCTCATCTCCCCAAAATTCTCTCGTCAACGGCAAAACATTCGATGACGTGAGAGAGATAAAGTAGTAAAACTTGAGAGTGATGCTTACGTATTTTCTCATCTCCCCAAAATTCTCTCGTCAACGGCAAAACATTCGAGGATGTGAGAGAGATAAAATAGTAAAACTTGAGAGTGATGCTCACGGATGGTTTATATCTAGGACATATTTCTGAGCTGCTCATGTTGTGGGATTTGGTGGAAGACGCTCCCAGAGAACGAGAATGCTAATTCGCGCGCGCACTGCTGGCGCGCATTCCCGGCTCACACGGCCCACGCACGCGCGCACGATACTTTTTATTTTCGCTAACCTACCGCCGTTTCTTTTTTTCTTTTCTTTTTTTTTGCTTTTTTCGCAGTTTGATGCCGTATGGGTAGAAGAAAAATTCGTAATTAGTTTTACTAGTGATTAGTTTCCTATTTTTACTAGTGATTAGTTTACTAGTAATTTTTAAATCTGAACTTAAAAATTTTTAAATTTGGACTTGAAAGTTTTCAAATCTCGAGTTCTCAAGTTGAAAGTTTTCAAATCTGGACTTGAAAGTTTTTGAATCTTGAGTTGAAAGTTTTCAAATCTCGAGTTAAAAATTTTCGAATCTCAAGTTGAAATTTTCAAAATTTTCAAATCTGGACATGGAAGTTTTCAAATCTCGAGTTGAAAATTTTCGAATTTCAAGTTGAAAATTTTTCAAAATCTTTAAATCTAGACTTGAAAGTTTTCGAATCTGAGTTGGAAGTTTTCAAAATTTGACTTTAAAATTTAAATCTTAAGTCGAAAGTTTTCAAATCCAACTTAAAAAATTTTCAATCCATTAGTAAAAAAAACTCCCCAAAAAAATCTTCACAATTTTTTCTAATTACTGTCATTAGCGTGAACTAACGGAGGAAGTGCGCGTCACCTCCCTCCACCCCCTCCCCCCCAAAGAGAAACACAAATCCGCATGATGCATCGCGAAACTTTCGCCTTGGTAAGAAAGATTTTGCATTATATTGACAGAATTGTTTGCCTTCACAATGATGAGGCAGGCGGCGTTCCTGGCATGTCGTCGTTGCAACTACTGCCACTGTAAGAGCAGGTACAATAGCAGGCTATAAGCCAGCTATAAACATATTTTAAAGAAATAAAGAAAGCGAGAGAAAAGCAAGGGGCTACAGATCTGTAGCCAGCTGCAGCACGGACTCCAAAACGTAATATGTGTATGACAGGTGGAACCATGTATTAATAGTATAGTAAGCAACTATTGTATGAATTGGCTATTACATTGGCATTAGATGATTCGGAGCTAGTAGTGGGCTATACTATTAACCTTGCTATAAGTGTATACCATTTTTTTTACCATATGTATGAACTTTGTAAATATGGTATTTCATGATTTTGGATCCTACACAATAGCAATCAAGTTGTTTCTAGCGTCTTTGCTGGTTCATGGTGGTCAGTGCGATCAGCAAGGTTGTAGCCGCAAGCGATTCCCTTTGAGTTAGTTCAGGCTAATTTTGTGAGCCTGAATTACTACTGAATGAGTGTTAACGAAAAGATTGCCTCCTACAATTTTTTTGGGTCTAAAATTTTGTATTGATGTTGAAGATGAGGTTCTTAAGCTGCTACTCATGACTTTATAATAAAAAAAGGGTCGTAGATACATGCATGATGCTACCTCCGTTTTTAAGTAGATGACACCGTTAATAACTTTTAAAATAATGTTTGACCAATTGTCTTATTTAAAAAAACAGTGTAAATATGCTAAACTATGAGTCGTACTTAAAATTTATTTAGTGATAAATTATAAGAAAACAAAAGATATTTATATATATTTTCTGAATAAGACGAATGATCAAACGTTACGTAAAAAAATCAACGGAGATATCTATTAAAAAGTAGAATGAGTACTCTATAAGTTGGTAGGTAGCTCAATTGACACTAGTGAAGGTCAATCCACACACCGTAGTCCACCCTCTCGGCTCCCCAATTTTCTCTGGGTTCTTCTTGTTGACCCAATTTGTACGACCACACGTCTACACATTTTTCGCAACATGCGCCATTATTGTGATTCACCACATTGGGATTACCCGTGTCAAACGACGATGATTTTTTTATACAAAGGCTAATTCATCATCACGAGAAATAAGGTCAGCATGGATGGTGTCAGGCCATTTGTAGAACACCGGGAGGAACACTCTATCCTCCATCCACTTAAACTTGGTCTTCTTCACCATCGATGTGAGTGTGCCGGTGAACAACGTCCGTCCTTGCAAACTCTCCACCTTCTCCCACTCCATCTTCTTTTCGTTAAGCTTGATGACATGGTTCAGTGTCCCGCGTCGGCCAAGGAGGACGGCCATCAGCTCATGCTGATCAGACTCAACCAGGTAGCTATTGTAGTGTTTGAAACCGAAGCTCGTGGGGTTGTCAAGAAACTCAAACCCTTCATCATGCTTGCATGGGTCATACATTACCAACCCTCCTTGATCGTTTAGAAGGTATATCAAGCCGCAATGGATAACCGGGTTGGTGACAGGTGACGGTAGTAGTCGTGGCCCATTGATGCCGAGCTCCATCAATGTCCAGTCCTCCCACACGCCATCATCGCTGTTCCAGTTGGCATAGCCAATCTTGAGTGGGAGAACCGCGTCGATACCGAATATTCTATGCGCCCTGTCGTCGTAGATGACAAAATCAAAATTACCCCTATATATATGTGGAACCTTATTAATGTTCCCAGTCACAAGCTCGACATCGAGTACCGCGCTCGGCGAATCAAGCGTGAGGTGTCGCCCAGCGGCACAGCAAATCTTGGCGCCCGCGTGGTCGCCGTCTTTGCCGCCGACCTCGAAGTTCTTGTGGTAATAGGGGCTATAGTACCGAATATTCGTGACGCCGACGTGGGCGGTGCTGAGCAGGAGCGGGGTGATCCACGCCGGGTAGAAGGGCGACACGGCGGAGCGCCAGTGCCGGCACGTCAACGCGAAGCTCGGGTGGCTCGACCACCGCAGGCGCTCCAGGATCACGGCGAGCACGTCGGACGGGAGAGACGACCAGTCCCGTTCCTCCATCGCGTTGGGCTCTCGATCCATCGATCTCGACCTTCTTCTTTGATCAGTTTGATTCGTGTACCGGCGCCGCCACAGCACGGCCAGGCCGTCACGTTTAAGAAAGGCCTGAAGCTGACGCAGGGTACGTACGTGCTGCGATCGTGCGGCGCCTGGTCCTGCGTGTGTTCGCGTCGGACTCGGTCACTGGATACTATACCGATACCATAAACGACGCATGCATGGATCGCGGGAATAAATCCGAGGCGGATTCACGGCCTCGCGGTCGCGGGTATTTATATGATGAACATCGAGGGATTGAGCGGTCGAGCCGTGCAATTTACAGAAACGCGGCGAACAGCGCCTGCCTGGTTAAGTGCCTGCGCCCGTTTAATCGGCAATTTAAAGGAACGCACGCAAAGAGGTTCGTATCTAGCAAATGTTATTATGTTCTTTTTGCAACAGAATAATTAATTTAATTACTATACTAGCAATTATTATTATATTATTATGTGATGACGGTATATCAAGCTACTTTAGATTTTTTTTCCTTAATTTTTTTCTCTCTCTTTTTTAAGGAGACTTGTATGTTTTGCTGGTTATTTTCAGATATATAAGCCCCCATACACGAACTATTCTTTTTCGAATATATATTTATAAGCTTTTGCTATCCAAGTTATGCTTCGCATGATATGTATAGGGTCCCTTTTAATTACTATCTCCACATATAGTTCTAAGAGTTTAGAAATTATCGAGCCGCCTCTTTGTGCAGCATCATCATTTGAGTAATTCTTTTATTTTTTTATGTAGCTGGAGTACGTACGACGTATTGGCTAAATCACGATGCAGATCGGGATAAACGAAAGTGAAAATTCAACTTCGTTGGATCATAAATTAGCTCCGATGTTATTGTTTCATTACAACTATGATATGTCTCTAGAGGAAAGCGACGACGACCAGGACAATGAAGAAAGTGGTGATGACGAGGATGTGAGCGACGAAGATGAGTTTACTGAGGCAAGTGACGATGAAGAGTCTATGGAGGAAACTGATGATGATGAAACCGATGCAAGTAGTAATGATAATGATGATGATACTGCTAATGATGAGGGTAAGGAGGTAAATGACACTTTGCTCCTCTATAGCATATCTAGCAAACAATTGCTAGCTAATAGCAAGCTGGATTATTTGAAAGATCACTTTTACTGGATAACACCACAAGGTTGGCTGCTCATGGTACACCGAGACTCGCATGAGACATTCTTGTGGAACCCATTCACATCTCAGAGAATTAGCTTGCCCTTCGATCAAGACAGATTCCTCAGAACGAATTATACAAGGTGCTTGCTATCGTGTAAGCCCACCGATATAAACTGTGTCGTGCTCGTCCTAAGCCTTAATGACACGGTAATTTGGTATTGTTATCCCGGAGGAACCCAATGGTTTAAGCATGAGTATCAGTCTAGGAGGTTTCATCGTCATCGTGGTAGCGTCATTGGATATATGGCCCTTCTCACTGTAGTTGGGGGTAAGTTCTACACTGGGCTTGGTGATAGTGTCATAACACTAGACTTCTCCCCAAATCCAAAGTTTGATATTATTCCTATTAAAGCGGTACAAAATCCAATGTACAACTTTTCAAGACTCTATTTGTTAGAATCAAGTGGGGAGTTGTTCAGCTTGTTCTTTTACCCTCCAATGACATGTCCTAAAAGAATAGCAGAGATTGAAGTTTACAAGCTGGACATACCAAGAAGAGCATGGGTGAAGGTGTACACACTTGGTGATAGAGCATTTTTTGTCAATAGCACCAAGTGCTTTGGAGCATCGGTCAGCGCAAAAGAAGCTTGTCTAGAGGAAAACTGCATTTATTTTTCGAGGACCGGGGACAAGGGACTATATGTTCATAGTATGGAACGTGGAACCACTGCTGCACTCAATCCCGGTGAAGATTTTCTAGATAATGTGGCAGCTGAAATACTGATGCCTGCACCTTGATTCCAGCTATTACTTGGACATGATGTTTTCTCTTTATTGCCCGTGAGTTGCTAATAGATTTTAATAGAAGAACATTACCATTAACTCGTTATTAACATCATTTTCTACATATATCATTTGCCAATTGCTGCATATATTCGTTACTCACATATAGACCCCTTTGGTTTCACACTATCATTTTTTTCTTAACAAAAATATATAGTTGGTCGGGTGGTTGATATGTGGACCTCACCTATCATTTTTTCTTAGAAAAAAGTAGAAAATTTGTGGTAGGGCAAAATCACCATTACTATTTTTTTTAAAAAAAGTATAGATTTGTTTGTCAATTATGTGTACGAAAGTGATATGTGTAATTGTGCATGAGATAAAATATGGTCATTGATAAAGTGTACTCCCTCCGTCCCATAAAAAACGAATTTAGGACTGGATGTGATATATTATAGTACTACGAATCTGAACATACTAGGATGCATCGCATCTGGTACTAGGTTGGTTATTTATTAGCGGAGGGAGTATGTGTTTGTACAATATGCACATATCTCTTTTATAAATGACCTCTCATGCTCAGTTACACATATCACTTCCATACACATCATTGACAAGAAAATCTATGCTATTTTTTTAAAAAAGTAGTAATGGTGATTTTGCCCTACCATAATAAAGTTTTTCTAACGTTTATAAGGGAAACATAAACTTGTATACGTGCACACTCACCCCTATACCGACTATATCCTTATGAGTACTTCCTTGAGACCAATAGACCAACATATCTCACGACGAAATCACTACACACCCCTAGCCATTGACGGACACACCACCCACCACTATAAATAATGTGGTTGTAACTTTGATTCACAATTTTAGCCATGTAATCCACAATTAAAGTTATCCATAAAATATGAATTTATCTGGCTTATAATCATTTGGAGGTATTTTTTAAAATTAAACCGGTGGAAGAGCTGTTAATTGTTAACTAATTAAAAAATTCGTAATTTTCCAATCGTCACCCTCTGATTCGTCCATCATAGTGCATTCTGTCATAGCGCACATCGCATCGCTAATCCATAATTTTGCCACCTTCGTCCGTAGCGGTACGCCTTCGCTCAAGCGAGAGAGGAAACAGAAAGTGAAATCAACTCAGCGGATAAAAAGAGATAAAAAGTGATCGATAGTATTGCCAGGAGATCAATTGTGATATTAAAACTGAACGAATCGATTTAACAGAGTGGAGAAATAAGAACATAATCTATTTCTAGAGCTCGTCCTCCCAATCGAGCCATGGAAGACATGCTCCATCTATTGTGAGAGGGGACGGCATGGAGTAGATGGATGACATGCTCCTCCTCTCATCTCTGATCCACCATGAAAGAGCGTGAATTCTCTCCTGGTCCCCAGCGTTCAAAGTTTTTCAGTGAAAATTCAATCTAGGGGAAAACACAAACAATCTTGAACCGTGGAAGAAACAACTGGAACTCTGAAAAAGGAAATTCGAATAAAAAAACAGTAAAAGAGAAATACTCTAAGTTGAATCAAAATCCAGTAGCTCACCACTCATCCCTAGCACGGCGCAGAAAGGCCCTGCTGCTGCTGCTGCTGCTGCCCCTCTCACTCGCTCTGCCGAAATGTATCACTTGCTAGGAGTCATGCTGATGCGGGAAAGAGCGGAAGCAGTGAGGCTCAGGAATCAGGAGGTCACTGCATCCCGTCACCGCCTTTCCTCATCTGCTCAGCACCCGATTTAGGACGGAGGCGAGGACAATGCATATCTGGAAGCTTGAGGGTTTCGTCCTTGCCGGCGCCATCATCTTCCTCTACTCATCGTCGTCGGCGTTGTCTTCCTCGCCGGATGCTGACTCCATTCACAAGCTTTGAAATGCCAGATTCACCGGCGACTAACAGACCCCAACCACCGCATCCCGCTGTATCCCGTTGCCCTCTTCTTCCTTCAGCCTTCCTGACCATTGCCGGCACCGCCTCCCCTCTCTGTTGCCGCCACTGCCTTCTCCTCTAGGCCACCGGATTCAGCGGCCACGGGCATATGGCTGCCGGATCTGGCCATCGCAGTGGCTAGGAGCGGCTGGAAACAGCGGCATGATGCAGGGAGAGAGATAGGGACGAGTGGCGAGGGCGAGATAGGGTCAGTTTAGACATTTCAGACCGAAATTTCGGTCATTTCGGTTCCCTCCGATACGATATTATTCCGGCCGAAGTTTTTCAATTTTTTAATTTTTTCATAAATTTGGGTAATATTTATTTAAATTCAACTAAATTTTGCTCAAAATTTCGGAAATTTCGGACCGAAATTTCTGAAATTTCGGGATTTCGGTGACCCCCGATATAAAAGCACAAACCGATAAAGCAAACCCTAGATAGGGATGAGTGGCGATGTGGGTGAGGTCTTTTGTTTTTTTTTTTCCTTTTCTCCTTTGTTTTTCTACCGAGAGATTGGCACAAACTTAATATAGGGTACTCCCTCCGCTTTAGGTCACAAGACATTTTAACTTTGGTCAAAGTGAAACTATTTCAAATTTGACTAAGTTTATATACCAATATAGTAATATTTATAATACCAAATTAATTTCATTAAATCAATAATTGAATATATTTTATAATAAATTTGTCTTGGGTTAAAAATATAATTTTTTTTCTACAAACTTAGTTAATCTTCAAAACGTCTTATAACCTGAAACGGAGGGAGCAGCAGTTACGTTTTGACACTGATATTTGTTACCGTATTTTTTAATTAGTATACCATCGGTCATATTGTGCGAATTCTTTTTTTACCACTTTGCTAGTAAAATATCTCCATTATTTTTATGTTGAGAATGCTACCGTGACTTTGAACACCAATATTATTCTTTGCATGTGATAAATTGTTTACTACTATCCAAATAAAATCTCTATCTCTACTATTATAAAAATTAAAGATGTTTCCTTCAAAATTTTAGTACACCATCCGTGTTTGAGTTGGTTTTATAATATTTATCTGAATGTCTAATATATCATTATACCTAATACCTATAATAAAAAATAAGCAAGGATTTAGTGTATTTGATTTCGTATGTCATCCGTACGTGTCTAATCCGTTGCCGCGCGCCTCCAGCCGTTGCTACACCGCTCAGGCCAAACCCTAACGCCACCGCCACATCGATCTACCTCCCCGTGAGTTTTTCCTCTAATTAATTGCAAAAATCGATTCTCCATTCCTCCCTCATCCTTCCCCATGATTTCCTCTTTTAATTTGGCTTTAATTCACTAGATTTAATATCAATTTAACAGTAGTGAATGATGCCCTTCCGGTAGTGAACTTCCCCAGCTGTTTTTATTCCGGGTTTTGTGGATTCGCTCCAATTTTAGGAAAAATTGAGAGAAGAGATCAAGTGGATCAAAAGTTCTCAATCAATTTTGGAAGATCAAGAAAGATTCAACTTGATTTGATAGGGATTGGCAATGTATAGGCACGGAACTATCTTCCGTAAGTTAAGAGGCAGGCAGAGTGAATGGAGGTATGTCTTCCGGAAGTTAAGAGAGGTAGACAGAGTGAAGGGATGTAGGAGGCAACGCTTTTTCAATTATAATGTATAGCGATACTGATGTTTGATGTTTTATTTTAAGTATATTTCAATAAACAGACGTAAAATCTTGAACAAATTACAAGAAAAAATATCACAAGAAAAACCTCGCAAAAACACCACAAACAACAGCTGAGTGGATGCAATACTACCACAACCAAACCTTACGAAACCAGCTCGCTAACAACTAAAACCATTCATTCAAAGGTATTGCATTCACTGTTTAGGCGCTGAAAAAAATATTAGTGGATGCAATACTACCACAACCAACCTTACGAAACCAGCTCGCTAACAACTAAAACCATTCATTCAAAGGTTTTGCATTTACTGTTTAGGCGCTGAGAAAATATTATTTCTATAGATCATCTCCACTAATTTAAAACTACTATATCCGTTCTAAAATATAAGTTATTTTCACCGTATGTGATATGTCCTAAAATACCAAAAGTATCACATCCAAATAAAATAACTTTATATTTTAGGAGGGAGCTGCAGTAACGTGTTGTATCATCGGTCACATTCATGCATCCTTCAGCCAAGAGGGTTCCAATGTGATCCAACCAAGCCAACTCCGATCCTGAGCATGCGCGCGTGCTCCTCGTGAGTCGTGAGAGAATTTCAGGTGCAACCAAACAGTACGCTACTACCGTGCTACCAAATTACCTCCACGGTCTCTCGGCTGTTGTGTAGCGCCACCTCTCACCACTACTCGCTATGTCATGGGTTTGATGCTCGGTCGCAAGCATGAGTTTTGAATTTGGCTTAGGACACCCCTAGCGAAATGACCTCACTACTACAAAAACCCTCATAGGGACCGGGCTTGGGACCGCGCTTATAGGTGCTGGTTCATTTAAAACCGACAACTATAGGCCTTTCCCACATTCGCACGCCAAAAAAAAATAAAGAACCGGCACCTTTAAGGAAGCATAAGTGCCAGTTCATTAGCTAAAACCGGCACCTTTTCTAAAAGAACTGGAACCTATAATATATTATATGTACCAGTTAATTAAAAACCAACACCCATAATATATTAGAGGTGCCGGTTCTTTTAAAAAACCAGCACATATACCATACCGAGCCGAGCTTACGAGCCGATCGTGCGCCGGCTTATCCATATAATAGCGCGTCGCCTCGATCTCTCCTGTCCCTTCTCGATTTCTCTATCTCTCTCTCTCGCCTCTTTGTCTCTCTCTCGCCTCTCTCACTTCTCTCAGTCTCAGATCCGGCCGGGCGACGGTGGCGGTGGCGGTGGCCGCGCCCTCCGGAGGGGAGGCGGCACACCACGGTGGAGCGGCGGCGGCCGCGCCCTCCCCTCCGCCAGATCCGGCAGGAGGGGAGGCGGCGCACCTCGGTGACGGTAGCGGCGGCGGCCGTCGACAGCAGGGGTGGAGAAGGACGCCGGTGGTGTAGGCGAGGTGGCGGCGGGCGGCTTGAGTTCTTGAGTGTATGGGTTTTTCTATTTTTGAGTTCTTGAGTTTTTGTTGAGTTCTTCCTCTCTTTTCTCCTCCTCGATCCATGTCCCAAATATAATGTGAACTTGTTGTTGATTGATCTATTGAGTTCTTTTCGGCTGGCTGTCGGTTTGTTATTGATTTGGCCGGCCAGCAGGGGTGTTCTAGGGGATGATGTGATCCGGGAGGCGGTGATGAAGGGAGGAGTAGGGCTGGGCTCGAGGGAGACGACGGGTGTATGGTTGGTGAGTTCGGCTCGATTCGAGTCGGCTCTCTTTTCTTTTTTTGCTCGAGCAAAGCAAAAGGCGTCGGTTCTATATTCATCATAGGTGCCGGCTGTTAGTATTGGTGCCGACCGATAGGTGCCAGTTAGGAAACCAGCATGTATAGCCGGTTCCAAATCGGCACCTATGATGATTTCTGTACTAGTGCCTAGATTATTCCGAGCACTTCGCACATCAGAGAAACATATAAAAATGTGTGGTGGAGAATGCGCTAACGTGCAACGGCTTTTGCGCTAGTTGCTCAAAAAAATCGTACAAAATTTAAGCAATCAGGGTTTTTTTTAGGGGTGTGTGTGGAGAAAAAAAAGGCCAAGAAGGCCATTTTTCAGAGCTATACGGCATGTTTGGGTAGGTTTAGGTAGTTTCATAACTAGACCGATTTGAAACGTGAAATATCGTGTTTTTTGAGCATAAGTATGTCTTTGCCTCTACCTGCACGCGCATGTGATGTACACATGCGTATGCGCATGTGTTCTATTGGCGCACATATGCGTTAAAGATACATTCAAAAAGTCACAAGAAAATGTGAAAATCATTTTAGATGTGCAACACCATAAAAAAATAAACTCAAAATTCGATGTGAATGCGAAGAAAAAAAGACAAAATCGTGCTCAAAAAAGTATTCAAACAATTAACATTACTATTCACATCAGATTTGTTTTTTTTTCTCAACTTCTACATCGAATTTTGAGGGGGGGTTTTTCGTGCGAAAGTACATATCCTATTGCGTATCGTGGTTTTTTGTCATATTTTTTTATGACTTCTTAATGTATTTTTTTTTAGTTTGGTAGCATGTATAGCACAACACTCTTGGATTGCACCTGAGATTCTCTCCTTCACGTAGAGCAGCTGGCCTTAATTTGTCTGGCCTCCGCGCGTAACACATGAGCCCGAAACGTATATCAATCGGGTGTCGACTTTATAAAAAAAATGTTTCAGCACATTAAAAAAATGTCTCAGCAGTAAAGATGATGAAACATAACCGAAGCACACTTAATCACTCTGCTGCGATATATGAAACATTGATTTTGAACCATTGAAACATCGACAAACCCGTGCACATTAAAGATAAAAATATGAAACACTATCAAAATATCCACTATAACATTTGATCCAAACACAAAGAACCATCACGAGTACAGTAGCTAAAACACACACAAAAAAAAAATATTATACCCTATCTTCGTTGCTTCTTCCTTCTCTCCGGTGAACACAGGGTTATCGAGGGCCACCGACTCGGTGTTCTCCTCCGGTCTTCGCGGGGGCCATCAGCGTCGCGGGAGAAGAGGACGTAGCTGTCGAGGATATCATCATGGCGCCAGAGATCCGGGGACAACGGGAGGAAGGGGCAGGTGAAGTCGACGATGTCATGTTCGGCAGCGGAGCAAGGGTAGGGCAGCTACACGGGGATGAAGCTGCCATCTATGTTGAGGAAGCCGAGCAGCGGTGGTGGGTGGTTGACGGCATGGATCTGGCGGAGAAAGGAGAGCTCGGTGATGATGCGGCGAAAGCTAGCGCGGGTGGTGGCAGTGCAAGCGAGTTCAACGGGGGAAAGGAGGCGATGCGGAATGGGTAGCTGAGAAGGTGCATGATATTTAGTTAGGCATCCAACACCCGAGCCTAATCGCTTTCGACTTTGAGCCATGTATCAGTTCTTGATAGGAAGAAGAAATTTTAGCCATTTACCTAAACAATATGCAATCGGAGAAGATACTGCAAAATAGCGTGTACATGCATCCTATATATCCCCATTAAGTGTAGTTAATGCTAATTCTCTCCTCTCATAAAACCACGTCACCTCAATTGTTTTTAGTATTTGGATGATTCATCAAGTATGTAAATTGCATCTCTTGACATGACCTCAACTGTTTTTAGCCGTTGGATGATTCATTCAGGGTATAAATTGCATCCCTTCCCCCAAAAGGCACACCATACAACTAGTCATTTATAACCTTTGGATAATTGATAAAAGTATAAAAATAGATAAACATATAAAAAAAATCGTATAGTAGGTAAGAAAGAAAATTTTAGAACTCATATATAGTATATTATCACACAATTCTCCCGTAGCAACACGCTGGGTATCCATCTAGTTTAATAGAAAGCACACCTCAAAGGCATATGCCCCAATTCCTCTCATGTTTTTCCTATTCCCTTGCCCTTCTTCCGTCCCCTCTGTCCCCCTTCTTACTGTTTTATTACATTCTGTACACCTGAAATCATTATTCCAACATAGTAGATGATTTGTTCAGACTTTTTAGCATTACCTCAAAAAAGTATGCACATAATATACCGTGGTATATAGTCCAACTGACCTTTTTCTACCTACATAGCTACATAGGTGTTAGCGTGCGCGGCGTGGCACCGCGCTCACATTTCTAGTTACAATTCAAGATGTGGTTCCAGCTTCATGTTAAGATGAGGGAACAGAGGTGAACTTATTAAATAAAATCTCCAACGTCGGGAAATTATGTGGACACACGAGCGCACGACAACGAATTGGTCGCTGGAACAAACATTATGCGCTGCAATCCTCGTTTTCCAAACGCATCTGGGATCATTTTCTACGTGGATTTCCCCTAGGAAATTTCCACCTCCAATTTTACCAAAATAACCCTCAGAGAAATTGGAGCCCACGGGGGTATTCTCCCCAAATTTACCCTCACAGAAATTTGGGCATATTAGTAAATTAACAAGAGACGGCCCGACCCGACCGAGGAGCTAACCACAGCTCGGCTCTGGCCCATATACCGGCCCATTAAACAGTAACCCCTCGTTTCCATCTGATCACGTTCTCCCACCAGCCGCCGCCGCCGCCGCCGACGACCGCCTCCAACACCTCAAAGCCGCCGCCGACGATGGCTCGTTCGAAGCGGGCCTGGAGAGCCCCGAAGGTGCCGAGGAGGGAGATGGCAGAGAAGTCCTTCTTCTGCCCCTACTGCGTGAAACAGATCAAGGCTGACCTGATCAGGGGAAGCGAACACTCCAAGAGGTGCAAAGCGATACGAGACAAGCAGGTCGCGGAGAGGGCGAGGGAGGAGGCGGCGCTCCGCCAAGCCGCCGAAGAGCTGCGCACCGCCGGCAAGACCAGCACCGGCAGCGGCGGATCGACCCCGGCCGGCCCATCCAGCCCCAACATCAAAAAGTGAGCAGAGGTAATAATAAGCTACTACTGCTGGAGATGATTATATGATATTAGCAATATTTTTCTGCATCTCAGTCTTGAGCATGTGCGAATTGTTTAATTTTGTCTGCCATTGTTAACAACCCTCTTCCTCCAAACTAATTGTTCTCAAGAACAATAGAATTCAATACAAACTCAGAGAATAGAAGAGAAATTGAGTGAGAAGAAGTAGAGGAAGCTTCTAGAAATGGCAGTGAAGAGGAACACGAGAGAGTAAGAAAGAGATAGAGATCGACGAGGTTCAACCGAACCAAGCCGCCGCCGTGGCCGAAGCCGCTGATGCCTGATCTGTTCGTTGCTTGAAGTTCTCCTGCTGCTGCCTTTTGTATCCCTCTCCTTTGTTTGTTTGGCCCTTGGCATGGATTAGCAATTGAGTCAGCCCATGTGCAGCCCAATGGGTTCCTGACAATCTCCTCTCCTTGAAACTGACTTGTCCATAAGTTGATGACAAGTAAACTTCAGAAATGGCAAACCTCCACTTTGATTTCTCTAGTATTCTTGCATCGTTCCAAAAGCTTCATTAATGTCCAATTTGTTTTCAGCGTGCCAACAGAAAACTTGCATCTCAAAAGAACAGCTCAAGCAAATCCTGGCACTTCGCATGTGAAAGAGAGAACTGTCTTGCAATGAGAATTTGACTGCCTGAAATGTGATTTGTCCAAGAGAAGAGATAGCTAGAAACTTGAGTAAACATAAACCACCAGGATCCCATGGCATTTGTAGATCAGGTGCACTAAGACACAATTCATCCATTTGATTTACACAGCCTCTGAACATATTTTGAATGAACAGGCCACATCTTTCATCTTGCTGGATCAGATTCTTCCAAGTTTTCATCCAAGATATCCATAGGCGCCGCAAGCTTGTTTGACACTGATCAGAAAGACCATACAACAGAACTGTAATTTCCACACAGACCCATAATTCCAATACTGTAGTGGCAATGGTATAGAGTTGGTAAATGAGGTACTTGCTGCAATGGTGACAACCCTGCCACTGCCCTTACTTTTGATAAAACTAGTACTTTGATAAACCCAAACTGTAGCGAACTCCTCTTTGTGGAATATCAATTGTTCATACAAGAATTCTTGGCCCATAGTATTCAACCAGTACACATCTACTTCACCATCTTCAAGTGTTATTTTGTATGATAATTTGCAGCTCTCTGTTATAGTCCAATCCGCACTAATTAAATAGGTAGCACTAGAAGTAGCTTCTGATTGCATCAATTTATAGCCAGTGGGCTTCTGCCATAATTCCATTGAGAGCAAAGTATACAACTCGAACCAATTCTGAGAAGAATCACTATATGTTTTTTATTTAAATTTCCTTTCCCAGCAAACCTCATAGGATGTCATGTTCGATCTCCTTCGCTGCATAAAACTCACCACCCAACAATTCTCCTTTACCACAAAATAACTGTAGATACTTCCAAACTTCTCTAGCAGAAAGCAGCGAACAGCCCGAAGACCACAATATTCTTCTCACATAATTCCAGCTCATCCAACTAGGAACCATAGAGAAATCTTCTCACATAATGTTCTTTGTTATGTTACCCAACTGTATATGATTTTATATGTTATTTGCTTGCAGGTAATTGCTAAGATGATCAGAGGGAGACCATCAGACAGATGAGAAATGATGGAATAAATGATAAACTACATACTGCAGTTGATTACTTTCTTATAATCTCATAATGCAATTTAGGAATTATTTGAACTCTCACCATGTTACCTATAATCAATGTTTCTGTACTCCATGGCATTACTTTGCGTAATTCGACGACTTACTTTGTGTGATTTGGGAACTATTTGTGTAGTTTGCTATATGATTAAATGCTAGCAACATTCAGATGAATTAACAAGCCTTACCATTGCATATCTATTTGTGTTCTTGCCACGTAGCATCACATGAAAAGGAGTTCCGTGATGATTGGACAACCTGGCAAAATTAATTAAAGATATGTCATTAGATCATGTCAATTCATATAAGAAAGACATTGCAGGTTAAAGTAAAAACATATTAGGAGTTTGACAGTTCGGAGACCAGATTTAAACGACCTTCAAGGTAATCTATTGAAGGGAAATCATCAGTGCTAAGGGTGTTTTGGGCAAAAGAATTCTATAGATATTTCATACGGATTGGTCAAGTTTGTTCGACATCCATTTTCTCACACTTGTATAAATTAGTAAACCCAACTTAGGCAAAAAAAAAACTCATGTAAACCCCGATCAAAAAGTTGTTTAATTTCACCATAAAAATCACACATGTAGATGAGACGATTTTACATAATCTTGTAAAAATTCTCCTAAAAACTATACTAAATTTCAAACATAACAAAAGTTTTACATAATCTTGTAAAAATTCTTTTAAAAACTGTACTAAATTTCAAACATAACAAAAGTTTGAAATTTGTTATTTTTGTAACTCATAAAAGTTGAGTTTAGACAAGATCTTTATACATGGTTATATAACCTCATCTCATTTGCATGTGTAATTTTTTAATATAAATTTAGACGACTTGTTGGTCGGGGTTTATATGAGTTTTCATTTAAGTTCGATTTCCAACGCATATTTACCCTTCCTACACTTGCAGGTTGGTGTCTCGCAACTTAATCAAGGTCAATATAATTTGACCGTATGCAATCATTACTACCGTGATCTGTGTGGTTCAGTGGTGACTAATTCGTCCTAAATTTAAGCTATGTACTTACTCCAAAAAGATTCAAATCCTAGGATTTAAATCTTGTTGATAGGAGTAGACAGTTCTAATATGGAAAACTACACACGCAGACAGTAAAATTTTATTGAACCCATTCGACAATATTTCATGAAAAAAAACATGTACTACTTTGTTTTATATTATAAGTCATTTGACTTTTTCTCTAATCAAACTAGCTTATATGAAAATTTAACAACACCTAAAATATCAAATTAGTTTTATTAGTTCTCACATTGAATATATTTTAGTAATATATTTGTTTTGTCTTTGAAATAGTACTATATTTAAGAAAAAAGTCACAACTTATAATATTTAACAACATCTAAAATATCAAATTAGTTTTATTAAATATCACACATTGAATATATTTGTTTTGTCTTTAAAATAGTACTATATTAAAGAAAAAAGTCACCACTTATAATATGAAACAAAAAGAGTACATTATAATTACGAAAACTCTTTGATCTATCTATTTGAGTTGTGTTTATCTTACAAAATGAGGCAGCATAGAGATCCGATCACTTATTAGAACTCACCTCCATTGTTAACAACGACTTGTCTGTGCACGGTGCTGGCAAATAATATGGACATGAAAGGAAAATATTCTCCAACTTGTAAGATGAACATGCTTTCAAAATCCTTGTGCGCGAGCAAAATCCGCATGATAAATACAGAACAATAGAATGACCATCTCCATTTTAGTTCACTCTGTAATAACACTTGTATATTGCCAGTGATATGCCAACAAAATATAATGACAACTTCCAATAAAGTCCGAACAGCATGATGCTTCTCAAGCCACAGAAATACGGATCTCTGGACCTACAAATCACGCCATATAATGATTATAATCACTTTGTAATTCTCTCGCCTAATGACCATCCCGACTGAGATTCAGGTCCCGAAACTTCAATCATCGCACGTCCTCATTCTCTTCAAGTCCAAATCCTCTCGAAAAAATAGTCCCCTTCAAATCAAATACTCTCGACAAAAAAAAAAGAGTTGACCTCATGAGGCTGCAGAGAACATTTGCAGAGTGATGATTAGACTAAAAGAAAATAAATCTTGACGAACAGAGTTGCCCGGAATCAAATTAAAGATCTTACCATCACCAATCGCAGGCGGATGTCATATGCGACAAGACCATACCGGCGGAAAAGCCGGCGCCTTTGGCCGCTCCAACAAGCGCACGGTCGCTATCCATCGGAAGAACAGCATACAGAGCTTTTCCTCTCTATCTTGAGAAAATAAATCGTTTATACATACAAGGAAAAAAAAGAGAAAACAGAGACAAGAATCAAATAACCGTCACCGGATACATCCGGCGAAGAAAAGCCGCCGCCGCCGCCGGCCGGCGAGGAGATCGATTTCCACTTCTCCAGCGCACCGGCCGGCGCCGGACACTCTCCCCCACGGCGAGAGCAGAACACCATCCCCCGACGTCGCGGATCCGGTGTGCCAGCCTTCCAGAGAGCCGAATCGACGGGGGCTGGCCGGCCGGGGAGAGTACCCCGGTGGCGGCGGCGGCGGCGCCGATCTAGGGTTTGCCGGGAGGAAAAAGAAAAAGCTTTTTCTTTCTTCGCAGGGGGAGAGTACGACGCTATGCAAAGGATAGGAAGATTAGATGTGGCGACAGGCTTTTGCGATTTATTGCGAGCCACAAGGGCGTCATGCACCGGTGCACGCGGTGCACAGAATCGATGCGAGTGGGCCGAGTTGGATCCGGTGACGCGGTCCATGAGCCTGGTGTACGCCACAAAACTGCCATCAATCTCACAGGCGAATCCAATGTTTGTAGGCAACCACGTTTGTAGACAAATTAGAAAATTACCGAGAGAAAAAAAAAAGGTAATTTTGGATAGTACTTTCTCTCTTTTTCTTTTGTGAAATGATGATTAGAGGTTTTAGAAACTTTTCCTATGCTACCTCCTCTCATTCTAAGTGCATCTATGTGTCCAACATTTAATCATATTTGAATGAATTTTTTTTATTATTAGCAAAAATGACCGTGCGTTGCCACAGAAAGAAAAAAAAGAGAAAATTGAATTAAAACATATTAAATTCTAATTAAATAAAATACAAATTTTCTAAAATATTTGGGTATTTTTAAGTAGGTAGGTATATAATTAAACTAATTTACAAATAAAGTAAGCGTCAGAAATAAAATGATATGGTTGGATTTAATTTTTATTAAATTATCCATATTAATTACACTTTTTGAAATTTTCTTGGAATTTACATAACTTAATTACTAATTTTGATAATACAAACATCATTTTAGGATTTATTTAAATACTAGCAAAAATGCCCGTGCGTTGCTACGGGTAAACAATTTCATACTTTTAAAGTATATTTCATGATAAAACAAATTACAATAAAATAATTAATAATTATATGTACTTATACTATATTTCTTGATAAAACAAATCACAAAATAATTGAATCCTAACGTTCACAGGTCTCTCACTTAAGCATCAAATATTTCTAAACAATCAAGAATTTTTGGGGAAAAAAAGTGGCACGAACTGAGACTAGAGCTAGACGATTCATTAATCGAACAATCCTTTCCTTGCATCCTCTTATTTACCTCCAAGCAGCTAGCCAAGTTCAGTTTTGCTACCTCTTATCTCGCCCAGCACCTCCCCTCCCTCCCTCTCCCGTGTAGGCCTCTTGGCCCAAGAGGCCCAGCCCGCCCAAGTTTGTTTTTGTCCCTCCCAAGTTGCCAGGTGGGCCCTCACTACAGTGTCGTCTTAAGCTCGTGACCAGGCTGGACTTCGCCATCGTCACCATCTCCTCAAGAAACATACCAGCGACCTACCCCAGGCAGTGGCGCGTGCGTGACGAAAAACCGAGCGTATCAAATACAATCTGACTATGGACCTCTCAAGGTCCATCTGTTCCGGTGCCAATGGGTTAGGTTGACTGGTGGAGGCGTAACGATTGATAACAGTGGGATGACAACGGTTGACCTTAACAAGGTTGGATACTCGGACGAACCTTTTGTCCTTGTCAATGATGTAACGCAAGTTTTTTACGTGAAGGACATGTCTAGCAAAGGAAAGAAGGGCAAAGGGCCTGACGAGCCGAAGCGCCACGTGGTTCTCCCAGGCAAAAGAAAAATCGTCGGAGTAGAGAACAAGACTGATGAGGATTACGATCAGTTTGATGGGCAACCCCCTTTCACGGTGACGGTTGACCCTAGCATCCTCCTATCAAACGAAGACACCCCTTACTCACGTAGCGATCACAAGGAAGGAACGATAATGAGGAGAAAGTATGTGCGGACAACCGTCACCACCGATCTATTGCCGTAATTGTTGTAACCTATTTTGGATGTATTGAATATGCTAGTTATATATGATTAATTACAATTTTTAACAATTTAATATCATGCATATACTAATTATATACGATTATTAGAATTTTTAAAAGTTTTAAATCATGCATGTGGGATTTACATATGTTAATTACAATTTTTAACAATTTAATATCATGCATATGCTAATTATATACGATTATTAGAATTTTTAAAAGTTTTAAATCATGCATGTGGTATTTACATATGTTAGTTACAATTTTTAACAATTTAATATCATGCATATGCTAATTATATACGGTTATTAGAATTTTTAAAAGTTTTAAATCATGCATGTGGGATTTACATATGTTAGTTAGAATTTTTAACAATTTAATATCATGCATATGCTAATTATATATGATTATTAGAATTTTTTAAAGTTTTAAATCATGCATGTGGGATTAAATATGTTAATTAGAATTTTTAATGCATTATTTTCTATTTTAGAAACACATATGCAACGAAATTCAATATTCAGTGCTATTAACTTTAGTCCCGGTTCTTAACCCTAACCGGGTTTAAAAAAGAATTTGGAAATAGCGGGAAAATATCTTTACTCCCAGTTGGTGAGAAGAACCGGGAAAATATCTTTACTCCCGGTTCTTCTCACCAACCAGGAGTAAAGATCCGGGGGTATATATATTCCTGGTGCGCCCTCGTTGTCACACCCCGAAGTTTTCCTCCCTAGTCAAAATTGCAATTTATAATTGACCCCAAGAAAATGCAGAGGAAATCAGGATAAAACCCTAAGAAAACAATGCAAATAATAATCGGATTTGACATGTGGAATTTTTCTTGAATTCTACATGTCGAAATTCATTAACAGGATTTTTAGTGGAATTTTCAGAGCCCTAGAAATAATTTTAACCAATTAAAAATCACTAAAGTGCAATTGTTAATTCCAGGGAAAATCCTTTTTCTTTTTCTTTTTCCTTTTTCCCCTTTTTTCCCTCCTTTTTGTCCAATGGGCCGTCGGCCCATTTCTCTTTTTCCTCCCCCTCCTCTCTGTTGGGCCGGCGCAGGCCGAGGCCCAGCCCGACAGCCGGCCGCCCGCCCGCCTCCTCTCGGGGTCGCCGACAGGTGGGGCCCACCTGTCGGACCCGTCTCCCTCCTCCCGCCGATCCCGCTCGTGCCGCCGCCGCCGCAACCGACGCCGCGCCCACGTCTCCGCCTTCCCCGGGCCACGTCGACCACGCCCGCGCGTGCGCCGCATTCCCCGCGCCCGTTCCCCTCTCTCTCCCACTCGCGCCCGCGCCCGAGATGGCCGGGATTCGAAAACCGAATCCCGCCTCTCTCTCCTCCCCACTCCCCCACGTCGGCCGTCGAATCCCGCCGCTCCCGGCCACGTCCGGTTCCCCCATCCCCTATTTAAGCATCGCCGGCACCCCCTCTCGCTTTTTCCCCATTGCGCCGACCTCTCCCGAGCCCCCCAACGCCTCCGCGCCGTGCAACCACCCGCCGCCGCCGCTTTTGCTACTCCGGCCGCCGCTAGCCGCCGCTAGGCTCGCCGCCGTCTCACGCCGTCGCCGCCGTTAGCTTCGCGCGGCCGAGGTCCACCTCGTCCACCCCTCCTCCGTCGAGGTTCGTCGCCGGAACCCCCTCCCCACGTGCACGGGTGAGCGTCACCTCTACCGCCGCCTTCGGCCATGGATCCCGATCGCCATGGTCCATCTCTCTCTCTCTAATCCCTCTCTTCTCCTTCCTTAGGGCACGCCGGAGCTCGTCCGCTAGCCGACGCCGTCCTCCCGTGGCTTGCCGTCGCCGTCCGCCATCGCCTTCCTCCGCGCCGGCCACCCTCGGTGAGGCATCCCCTCCCTCCTTTTCCCCTTCCTCTCCTCCTAGAGCCGCTAGCCGCCGCTCTCCGCCGCCGGACGATCGCCGTCGGTCGTTGCTTTGCGCCGCTGCCGCATGCGCGCCGCCGCCGTGTGAGCGCCGCGCCGCCGGCGCCATGGTCGCCGCTGTCTCGCGCCGCGCCCGCGCGCCCCGGCCGCGAGGTCCCGCACCGCCGTCCGATCTACCCTTGGGTAGATCGGGGCCGTCGGTTCGGCCGCCACGTGGCGCCGCCGCCCCTCCTTTCCCCGTGCCGCTGACCGGTGGGCCCGCGCGCCGCCACCCCCTTCCTCTCTCTCCCGGTCGCTGACCGGTGGGCCCCGCCTGTCGGCGCCGAGCCGCGCCCCCTCGCTGACGTCAGCCCTGGTTAATATTGCGCAATAAAATATTTAAGGATTTCTTTTATAGTAATAAACACAGTGAATCTTCTAAAATTCATAACTAATTCATCCGAGCTCCGTTTAAGCCCATTCAAGTCTCAGTAAATCAAGAAAAATGTGTAGAATCCATTAAAAATGGTTTTGTTCTCTGTTTCAGTAGTCTTATAGCCTGTTTGCAATGTTTGCTTTGTATGTCGCTAGATTCCGATCTCTCCGACGCTCCGGTGTACTTCGAGATAGTCGCCGAGGTCCCTCCAGCAGCAGAGCAAGGCAAGTCATGCTTGTCACTTGATCATATTGATCCTATATTGCAAATGTCCTAATGTTTTCTTTCAAATATCGCATTTGTTTTGCAATTATACTATGGGATGGTTACCTATTGTTACAGCTATGCCTTTTGATACCATGCTCCTTTGTTAGCTTGGGTTATAACATGATTAGATTTTGGACTAGGAATTGCTTAGCCATGCTTAGTTCAACTAGCACACATTGGGGATCTCATTTAAAACCTAGACTATAGGTTTATATGATAATGTTGGTTTAATACCACCGCTCTGGTGTTGGGTAAATAAAATGAACCACATGGTGGGCTGTGGGTGCATGGTTTTGCTAGTCGCACCCATGGCAGTTAAGGACCGGTTCGCGGGATGCCCTGGAAGAATTTATCGTACTTACCACAAGCCAGCGTGGGCAACGGCTGGGCTTGTAGTGTAGCTTTCCTCTAGTCGACGCATCCAGGCAAGGGTGGGCGTGATGGAGCGGGGCGGGCCCTGCGACGGCCTCTGTCGCTTCCGGATTCACCTAGGCACGAGAGGGGACTGCCCGTCGCCCGCTGGGGACGGGGGTGAAACCTGAGGTGTGGTGTGCTTGGCTAGAGGGGGTTATGCGAAGGGTCCTGTCACGGCCTCTTTCCGGTATGTCGTGGTGACATGTCGGCGCACGGAAACGTGTCGTGGGGCTGTGTCTTGTGGGTACAGTTGTACACCTCTGATCAGAGTAAAACTATTCGAATAGCCGTGCCCGCGGTTATGGGCGGTCAACCAGATTCACCGTGAT